CAGGGCAAAGAATGTGGTAGGCATATGTGCGTATAACCTGAAAAACAGTTGAAACAAAAAATTCCACTCAAGTTAGTTTTAATTGGTCTAGATCAACACTTCTCAACCTGTGGGTCGCGACCCTTTAGTGGGTTGAACAACCCTTTCACAAGGGTTGCCTAAGACCATAGAAAAACACATCTTGATTGAAGTTATAAAGTAACAACGAAAATAATTGTTTGGGAGTCGCCACAACATGAGGAACTGTATTAAAAAGTTGCCACAACAGGAGGAACTGTATTAAAGGGTCGCAGTATTAGGAAGGTTAAGAACCACTGGTCTAAATTTTCAGGTAAGTTTTTTTTGTTTTATCTCAATAAAACATTACAGTAATCAACTTTGACTAACAGTGATGCAAACACTGTGTGGTCCAGGGCCTGTTTGGGGAAAGAGAGAATAAACCCTTAAGAACGATGTCATAAAAGATGGCTAGTTACCGGGTTTACTGAAATTAGATCAACTGGGCCAAAAGTGCAAATATCATAGCCCAGCTATAAGCCCAAAACATTTTATCAATCATCTCTTCAAACTTGAACACAAAAGAAGTGCTGCAACATGAGTTTCTAGCTGACTTAACTGGTGTAGTAACCAGAGCTTTCTTCTATAAAATAGGTGCCAGTACTTACCCCAAAGTGTCTAAAAAGGTGCCAGTATTTATCATAAAGTGACTACCATGTTTCCCTGTGACGATACGCTAGGTGACTTCAGAATGTCTTTCCTCAACGGACTTTTATTTCTATGTATTTTAAAGTATACAGAAATAATACGGTTTTGGATACATCCTTAATCTAAGTAAGGCGACCAGAACAAACATTTAATTCTCCTGGACTGTTGGTGATATCAAACACTAAAACTTTTCCCAGACGTTAAGTGTAAGGTACAGAGATAAGACTGACCAAGCTTAGACTTACTGTCTGCAGATTTGCACACCATCTGTTGGTGTCAGATATTTATCTCCTAGCCAGACCATTAGGAGCAGATAACTCCGGCTAATTGTGTTTAATTCCCCCTGAGGTTACCTAAACTGGAGTGCCGGTCAGATAGTCAATATTGACACAGGGAACCGAAAGTGTGGGCAGAAGAATTGACAAAGTCTGATTTTATGGAGTTGTTAGCAAACAACTTGACAGGTGAAGTAGGCTGGAGGTGTGACTATATTTATTAGCTCTGGTCAGCTTGATTGAACCTGGAGAATGTGACCGTGGGAATTTAAACAAGTGTTGTACAGCCCTGACTGACAGCGAATAAACTTACCCACAGGGGAGGAGCTGTGACATCCTTGAATGAGAATGATTTTAGGCGTAATGTAGGAGGAGCTTAGAAAAAGTTATAAAAGTGTGAACTCTAGGACTGGGGATGAGACTCTGTCAAGCACATGCCATCTGTTGGGCTTAACCTAAGCTTGAGGCAGAACTTTTGGCGTTGTGGTTTCATTTTCCAGGTAAGAACGAAATTAGTTTCAAAACCTTTGTTTTATTTATGATAGAGATCTAACTGTCTTTTTACTCAAGTGTGTGTCTTCATCACTTTGTAGTACTCCTAGGCGGATATTTCTTCATTCTCTTAGAGCACTGTCACATTGCTTTATATCCTCTTTGATAGTGTCATGAATGTTTTTCGTGCACATGTGTTTCAATGTTGTAAAACTTAAATGTTGATGTTACCATTGAAATTTAATACTATCATGTTCTTGAAATCACCAGCGTGAAGATAACTTTGGCAATCTTGTCATGTGTGGTTAATGTGAATCTGGATTACATACAGCTAACACACTGAAATGTGTTTAACTCCAGGGAAGTTAATGCGGCGATTGATCCCGGAGAGTAAATCCACGAGATTTGTTATTTGATTCACCCCAGAACTATTGTTAGCACTCTGGGCGCGACCATTGTTCCAAGCATGGATTCCAGAACTTGTTCTGTCTGACTGATTGTCATTTTGAGTCTGTACAAGAGATGGCATCTGACGTAGAAGACTTGACTATCATCACAGGACTTGTGTAGAGGAAGGCAGTAAATGTAACGGCTGGAATGTGAGACATAAGCCCTTCCAAATTGGACAGGAGTGAATGTGAACATGAGGGAGAGATGAAATGTTTTATTTAAATAAACATGCTTGATGTTATTATAATATACATGCTTAGTGTACACCTAGAGCAGATACTACAGATATGCGCTTGTTTCTTTATCACAGTTCCCACATTGGGCAGGGACTAGTAGGCATCCATTCTTTGCCGACAGTCTGAGTGTAACGACCTGCTTGAAAGCAGTGAGGACGACAAACTGGAAAAGAATAGGCAGGGTCTCAAGCCGAGAACTGTCCAAAGGTTGTTACTTTCCAATATATAATTTCATTATCAACATCATCTCAACTCTACTAGCCTAAACAAGTTCATTTTAATTTCGATTTATTCAAATAAATCATGTTTGATGTTGTTACAAAATAGTTGAGTAAATTGTGTACTTAGGTTCAAGTGTCTTTGTGCATATTAGTTTACTTCAGCTAACAAATATTTAAATCACTTGTTGGGGCTTTTAAGTAATGCCAGGAGAGGAGAAATGTCGGAGGGGTTAACTGTGTATCTGGATTATATCATAGTGGGTTTATCCTGATATCTATCTATCCCTTCTCCTTCTCCTGTTGATACAAGTACAGCAACTCTAATTTCATGGAACGAGCCACTCGCTGTTTTCTTGGCTATCCAGGACTGTCTAGGATCAACATAGCTTAGATATTAGTCCAGTTTCTCACGTGGGTGGGCATTGTTAAGGTTCAAACCCACACCCTCACTATATCAGTGTATTTACCCACGTGGGCGCGCGACATTCCCCGTAAATAAGACTGCGTCTTATATAGTTTTGGCTTACAAAATTTATGAGGGCTTATTTTCAGGGGATGTCTATTTTTTTTCAGATATAAAAATCTACATTTATAGTTATGCTAAAAAATAAAAAAAGGTGCTGAATAAAAAAAAACAGCCCTTTTTATAACCTATTTTGATAAACGTTTCAGCAGGGTCTACTTTATATGTTTTTCCTATCTAGTTTTAAATGCTTACACATCTATGATCTGTGCAAATGTTCAGCACCAAAGAAAAGTTTCGATTTTTAATATAAATGTTACATAAACATTTTCAGACACAACTGATCTGAAGATTGAATAAAACTAAAAAAACTGGCTTATACACAACTCTGTGAGGGTTTCAGGGAAAAGAATTAACCCACCCCCACACACCAATGAGCATGACATAAATGGCAACCAACTGGGGTATTTTCTTTGGAGTGCATCTGTCTGAGAGGGAAGGAACCAGCAGTCTTCATATATACACACACACACACACACACACACACACACACACACATACTGTAAAACAGATGTGCATGGAAAACCCAAATCTTAGAATAAGACTAAAGTCAAGAAGTGGGTGAGCAGCCAGAACTTTCTGCTAGAGTTTAAAGCTTACAGCAAAGAAGAGGTGTTTTTTTCAAAAGATAGAACAAGATTGTTAAAATAACACTTATGTGACTAAATGAACCATGTTAACATGTGAAAGTTGGAGAATCATTAAGGACATGGAAGGAAAGCTAAATGCATTTGAAAACAAATGCCTGAGAAAAATGGGATAAATTCAAGAGGGGCAACTACTATTATCAACAGTTATAACAGTGATTCCCAAACTGCACCCGGGAGAGCCACGACCTCTTCACAGGGGCGCCGCGAAATACTGTAAAAATTTCAAAATTAATTTAACCAAGTCACGAATAGAAGAAATGAGCAGAGAATCATGAAACAGGCACTAAAATGGGAAGTAAAGGGACTGAGGAATTGAGGACGTCCAAGAGAACCTCTGTGATAAACACTGATGAGAGAAGCCAGAATTACTAGACTGGATACAATCAATGATATTGAAGTGATTGCACAAAACAGAAGGGAATGAAGGAATAGCCAACGAGCACTATATGGAATTAAATGGCACAACTGGACAATAAATGATTAAATCTTCTTCTTCGCGTTCACCAGCTGTACACTTTGGTGGAAAGTTCTGGTTGTTCGTCCACTTCTGAACTGAGTGTTGCGTGTGCATCAGTTTTACAGATCTGATTCACTTGAATCCAGACTGTTGGTTCCTTGCCTCTCAGGCAGATGCACTCCGACTTCAAAGGAAGCTCCCCAATTAGTCGACTCTTACGACATGCTTTTGGGTAGGCAGAGGGTCTATTCTTGTTTTCCCCACGATGGGGCCCTGGAACCCACACGGGGAAAATGATTAAATGAACAAGCTTGCTTGTCTGAATTTGTATCATCAAATTTGTTGTTGGAAGCCACTGATTTAGAATGTAAACAAAATAGCCAGCTATATGACAGTAATTTCCCATTCTGGATTACACGGCCCATGTTTGGGGAAACAAATAGACCCACTGCCCCCTTAACAAGCATGTCATTCTGAGGACAAATAAATAACAAATACATTATGTATAGCATTATGTGTATGTACCACAGTAAAAGTAAATACCTGAACATGTTGTTTGCTTTTCTGATTATAAGGGTTGCTCAGCCACATCTCAACAATTTTATGACAAGGCAAGTATTCTTTAACTTGAGCATGCAAAAGGATGCTGAAATATATAAACGTATTAATCAAAGCTGAAACTAGGATTACCAGATTACCACAAAGCAATGTTTCCCCATTGTAAATTTGAACAAGGTTAGTTGCGTATCCTTTACAGGACGTTGCAGAACCAACCCCAACAGTCCCTGGCTGTTGTGTGGTTTTTCTAGGTAAATTTACGTCCAGTAGTTTGCCATTGCTTTCTGGACAGTCGGCTTTCTTGATACCACTGTCGAAACCAATGCAAGGCACATGTTCCGCAAAATTTGAACAAAGAAGACAAAAAGGACAGACTGCACAATTTACTGTCTAGCTTACTTCACTGTATCTCATCATACACATTCTGAGTTGGGTTATCTTCACGAGACTCTGGACACATTATAGGCTGTGCTGATCTTTAGCTCCCAGTTTTCACATTCTTAGCAGCCGTGAATGTGCTGCTCCCATAATCCTCTGATCAACCTATCTCTCTAAGGGCATTAACATTAACAAGGTGAACACTACAGTAACAATATATAGAAGTAAATAAATGAATCATTCTAACTGAAATATATTACTTTTGAGTCTAGTTGATTTTGTATTTCTATTGCATGGATTCATTTATTTACTTTATTATTATATTCAAAGATATAAGTGTTAAATAGAGCCAGCACGGAAAATAAGTTGCATTTCTATATCCCAATCCCCATGCCCCGTTTGGGTTTCAGCCCCACTGGGGGGAGGGGGTTGCGATATCCATAGTACAGAGCCTATGGGTTAACAACTCATGGTTTCTGTTATTTTAATTAAAAAAAAAAAAAATATAGATATACATTAGCTGTGGTGGCACAGTGATTAGCACACTGCCTGACAATATAGGTCCAGGTTGAATCCTTAGTAGTGACAAGATTTGTTCGCTACAATAGCAGAAATGAAATTGAAAAAAAGCCTCATAAAAAGGGTATTATCCCTGTGTGGGTTCCAAGGCCCCATTTCGGGAGAAACAAGAATAGATTTTAGTGGGCAAATGATTTTATTTGCTGTCTTTTCCTTGGTATGCTGCGATGCTGTGAAGTCTGAGCTTGTTTGTCAGTGACACCCTCAACCCATATTCTTCTAAGTTTCTCTCTGTCTCCTAGTGTTTTCATTTTCATATTGTATGCTCTCCCTGCTAGCATCAGTGGATTCCTTGTCATGACCATTTTAGTTTTTGTTTCTCAATGAATTTAATGATAGGTATTGTTCCAACAGTTCTTCTAATCTGTTGGAATCTAGCGACATTCTATAATATGAAAAAGGCTAACCACAGCTGGATAATGCTAGATGGACACATCTCAACCATGCCATAGACCTCAGTGATGAAGGCTATGGCACAGTACCACATGTCTGTTTCTGCCAGGGCTTGTATTCCCAGTGCTGTTGCAGCTTCTATCAGCTTCTGGTTTCTGGGGATCACAAGTATACAAGTCTTCTGTGATATGTAGCTAAAGTGTTAAAGATAAAACTACATCACACTCAAGCACATATACTCATATTTTATCTTCTTTTTCTGTCTTTTGTCATTGCCTGCTGTTCACTGTATAGTAAAGTTCTAATGAGTTAAGAAGCGACATACAGCACTCAAAATATTCTCATAAGAACTCTATCCCCATTTTCAGCAGTCAGCACAGAGTTTGAATTAGCTGGCACCAGCAGCAGTCTGACTATAATGGCTGCATAGGCAACACATGGTCTCTTCAATACTACCCAGACTTAACACAACAGAGAGGAGCAAAATCTTTCCTGGCCTTAACTCTTTCAGTTCCAGGGGCTTTAGCATCAGAAGTGTAAAATTGGTGCATCTTGCTTTCACTGGGCTTCTAGGTAGGAACCTATGAACGAATGATGTCTTCCTTGGGAATGAAAGAGTTAACTGACTGCGATTCCCAGGTCTCTCTATAACATAGTATAACAATATTGTCTGGAAAGAAGGATGGGTACTAACCAATGAGGGTTCAAACCTGTGACCACTGAGTCACCAGGCAATTATCCATGATGTTACTGCAATTCTATGGTAAATAATGAGTTTAAATTAACGGAAATTATGACACATACAAATATAAAATACCTTTCTTGCTCTGGTTCACATTTGGCAGTCTTTATGATGCCATTACATTCTCTGAAGCACTGGTCAAATTTTCTCATTAGGAATAAGTTTACTGCTTCCGTCACATCTGATGCACTCATTGTTCACGTCAAATTAGTATACAAATATGGCCTACTTTGTTGTAATTTTTTTTTTAAACAGCAGATGAACTTCACCTGGCAAACATTAAGCATTTCTTTAGAAAAGAGATGTTATCAAATACTTTCGAACTAATTATTAATTCTGTACCTTTGCAATTGGGGGCTGCTGTGGTGTATTGGTAAGATGCTTGCCTGTGGATTGGAAGGGCATGGGGTTGGGTCCTGGCGGAGCCAGACTTTTATCAAAATGACCTTGGCTCCCGGGTTGACCCAGCCTTAAAATGGGTACCAGGTACAGTAATAGGAAGCAAAGGCGGTCAGCGTATGTTGACTCCATCACCCATTGAGTGTCGACTGGTCTAAAAATATAGGTCTAGCCCTATATGCCAGAAGGCGTGGAAAAGGGTTCGTTATTGTACTTTACCTATGTAATTATGTTCAGTTACAAACAGCGTCTGCGGCTTAGGCATTGTGAACGTGCTTTGTAATACCAGGGTGCTAAATTCTATTCCAGCTGCAGGCAATTTGGCAGCAGACCATCTTGAGCTGATTTTGACAGGGGTACCGAAAGCCGACTGTTCAGTAGCAATGGCAGACTTACTTACTTAGTCGCTCCTCTCACACCGTGGGGTGTAGAGGCTTGCCACACAGATCTTCCAGTCTTCTGGTAGTTTTACTATACGAGGCTGCCTGGAAAACCTTCAAGAGAAGCTGCTCACCTGCGACACCCACAAATTTAAATGCTGAATTCAGAATCGAAATCACAGCACTCAGGACCACCTCATAAGCACTCCGTCTCCATCTTCAGCAGCAAGTGAAGAGTTAAAATTGCGATGGTACCAGTAACTAAATATATTTGACTATATATATGCACCTATATGTTTGACCATAATGGCAAATTACTGAATGTAAAGTTGCCTAGAAAAACCGCAACAGCTAAAAAATGCTGGAGTTGGTCCCATAACATCCTGTAAAGATCGCACAACTACCATTTAAAAAACAAAACAAACATAGCAAATAAAATGGTCGCATTGCAACAGTATACCCTACTAATCAGGGGTGTCACTTTCGAAGTAGGGGTGCATTTGCATGAGGGATGAGGAACCATACGTCTGCCTACAAATAAGCCAGATCTGTAAAACAAGACTAAAGTCCAGAAGTGGACGAACAACCAGAACGTTCCGCTGCAGTTTACTGCGGCTAAATGCGAAAAAAAAAAAAAAAAAAAAAAAAAAGGAAAGAAGAAAGATACACTGCTGTAGCAAAAATAAAGTGTACACAAAACTAGAAATGTCGCACTTATTTTAAGTAGTATTAATAGTTAAGAAGGCACTACAACTACAATACTACAACAAAAACAATGCTAAACCAAATGGCTGCCATGACTAGTAGTAGACTAGTAGAGTAACTAGTAGTAGAAGTCCGTCCGACTGCTACTCTAAACTATTTTTGCGCTAATCCTAATCGATGTGTTATGCATCCGCAAATAACATATTCATTTCGAAATTGAATATCCCATATGCTGCAACACAGAAAAAACTCCAGAGAACTGCATCCAAATAAGGATACATTTGATGTTACTTTGATACAAAATAAACGACATCAAGACTCAGTGTAACAGACATCTAGTTTTTAAAAAAGTAAAAATGCGATACATTCTTAAAAGGACGATAGAAGAGAGCTAACTCCTGTCAGCAGAAGAGGAACTTTTATATCGATGGCGTTTTGTACATTTTACTTACATTCGACGAATGTCAATATTTAGTTTTATTCGAGGTCAGAATGGCTCATTTTGGCAAGGATTTGGATGATTTTAAAAGCTCAAGATGTGTTCATATAAGATCTGCAGAACAAACAGAGCATTTTACGGTAGGTTTTCTATATCATATGCAGTGCAGATCCTAGTAGTTGTGTCTGTCTAAAATCAAAATATTTTTTATCTGTTGTTTACAAAATCATGTTGACAATAATAGTAATACATTAGTCATCGCATCGCAGAAATGAAAATCATTAAATGAACCGTTTTTGCTTGTAAATATACGCATAACATGTTAATATTTTCAACTGTAGCCGTGTGAAAGTTTCAAACACACATACATGAAATAGTTTCTTACAGTTGCAGATTTTTTATTCCAAAGTTGCATTGTGATGTTTGTAAACAAACGAAAAAACAAAGACAAACCCCAGCGAGTCAGCTGACATATTAGTTTAAAAAAACACGATTGAAAATTCAAGCAGAATAACATGAAGTATATGGCACTCAGCTCAGCGACACGAAATATTATGAGAACATGCTTAAATTTCATATGGTTGCATAAAATTATGGTGTCTTTATTTCCTTTTCTGCCCTATCATCTTGCCCCTCCCTGCAGTATCTTCACCCTCTCTCTTCACCCTCATCATCCTCTCTGTACTTTTCACCCTTTCTGCACTCATTACCAAATGTAAAGTTTCTGTTACTATCCATACACATTCATTTTGCTTCCCTATCCACTTTACCCCAGTCCTTAAGAAAGAGAATAAGGGCTTTTGAACTGAAATGCTATAGAAAGTTTCTCAGAGTATCTAAGGACAAAGAAGAGGAGAAATATTGACATCCTAAAAGATCTGAACATCAAGAAAGATTGGCTAATAAACAGCATCCTTTCTCAGAAGTTGAACTATTTTGGTCATATCAAGCGCCACAACGGATTGGAAAAAACTATAGCAGAAGGCATGGTACCAGGAAGGAGGTGCATGGGCCGACCAACAGGAAGATGGGCACAGGATATAAGTGACACCTTGAGTATGAAAGTACATGAGGCAGGAGAACTGGCGAGTGACCGAGTTTCTTTTAGGCAGACTGTGATGAGAGCGACGTTCTGTAAGATCTGCTACATGATGATGATCAACTTTACATCTGTAGTCTCTGTTAACTAGATGACAGGTCATCTCACAGCACATTAAACCATACATTTAAGTGCTTAGATCCCCTCTTTGATATATCCCTTAGTATAGTATTTACTATTTTTTTAACCCTCTGCATAACTCTTGTCTGGCCTAATCTCTTTTTGACTTCATAGTTGAAACTGTTTTTTTTTTTTTTTTTAAAGTTGTGACTTCTTCAAATATTACAACAATTATTTTCTTCTTAGCGTTCACCAGCTGCAAACGCTAACAGAAAGTACTGACTTTTTGTCCCCTTCTGTACTTAAGTCTTATTCCAGAACTTGAATTTTGTGTGCACATTTGTTTTACAGATCTGGCTTGCCTAGTTGTATGAAGACTGTTGGTTTCTTGCCTGTCAGGCAGAAGCAGTCTGACCTCAATGAAAAAATTTCTAATCAGAGATTCAACTACAGTCAGGGACTAATTAAGTTCAAAGGTCGAGGTACTACTGTGTTCTACACAGGCACCAGTTAAGAACCATTGTAGTTTACTAGTTTTTGTTTTAGTCTTTTCCATAGTTCTGCTTCGTTTAGCAATATTAATTTGAATTTAAATATGAATAAAAGTTTCAATGCCTTTTTGTTTTTTAAACAAATTTCCTAGTACTGTGAAATGTGCTCTTTAGTCCACCTGTTGAACTGGAATATTACCAAAGGAGGTTATCGTTTTATTAGTTTATTCTTATTATCTTTCTTTCACCTTGTATGAAGTGTTATGTTGACAATATTCCTGCTTTTCAGGTATACATTATAACAGTAACCGTGGGAGCATACACATGGACTGTCAAACATCGTTACAGTGAATTCTATGATCTCCACGAAAAGGTAGAGTAGTAACAAATAACACATATTTTTTCCTGTTATAAAATCAAAATTGTAATGTATAAAATAAAGAATATTGTATGCTTAGTGATTTTTGTTTTTCTACTTCTACCATGTAGATCCTGTCTGTCTGCAGCAATAAGAGTGAGTGCCACAGTGATTATTGTTTTAATGCTGTGAGTCAGGGCTTGTCTTCTTGTTGTTGGTAGTATTCACTGGCTGTAAACTTCCACTGAAAGATGTTTTTTGGTCTACTAATTGACTTTGGTCTTGTTCCCGAACTTAAGTTTTGCATGCTTATTCATTTTAAACATCTGGCTTTTGTGGAAACAGACTGTTGATTTCTTGTCTCTCAGGCAGATGCTCTCCGACTTCGAAGGAAATACCCCTAATTAGGTGACTGTTATGACTTGCTCGTTAGGGGAGCAGTGAGTCTACTACCCTCCCCCCCCCCCCCAACACCCCCCACCAAAAAATGAGGCCTCAGAACCTACATGAGGACATCAGTTCGGTTTGCTCCCTTAATTCCACATCAGTAATTTTGACACATCATTTTAGTCATTCTATTCAGAACAGGCACCATTAATTGAATGTGTGTAGTTTATTTATAATTGTTTCATTAATTTGATTCTGATCTATATAACAGTATTTATCAGGTAAAGGACTCTTTTTACACCAGAGTGCCACCTGTGCCAGGTGGCACAATGTGTGGTGTAGTCAGCGTCACACTGGCCACCTTTACTTCCCATGACTTTAACTGGTATTAATTTTAAGCTTGGTTGACCAGGAAACCAAGGTTATTTTGGAGAAAAAAATATTCAACACGACACAGATTAAAACCAGAGGCCTTCGGTCTACGATTAAGGGGTTCCCAAATTCACATAGTAACCCAGGTTAATTATGTAGTTATATGTGTGAGAAATTATAGAACTGACAGTGTTTTTATTCAGTTTCATTTGGTTAAAATGCACCAAGCTGTTACAATTACTGGGCTTTCATTCAGGAGGCCAAATTTCAAATCCCTGGTAAGTTGATGGATTTTTTTCTGTCAGGTTCAAAAATAAAATCCTAACCTGCACAGTCCCTGGTGACTGCACAAGACATGCAGCCTTAAATCTTGAGGCACAAGACTCCCCTCCCCCTTTCTGCACCACGCTAAAAGTGGTAAGGGGGTCTGCGTGGTCTCGAGGCATGGTATCTGCCTCGAGTACTGGAGGTTCCGGGTTCAATTCCAGGTAAGGGCGGGGATTTTTTCACGGGGACTTGGACTTCTAGTAATTCCCCCTGGTCTTTGGGTAGTGAGATTGGATGCCCATATGCATATTGTTGCTCACATAAAAAATCCCTTGGCAGTTGGAAATTGAAAAGAGTAGCCTAACGGAGCTCCAGGGCGAAATTTTGAGTTAAAAATCTACCCAAAGTATTTCAGGATCCTCACTGGTGCTACAGTGCCTGTGCACTGTGCTGAGCTTCTTTGGACTCGGACTTGAGTAAGAAGAAGAACGGAGCACTTATGGGTTACTACCCGTGTGCCATGATGTTGGTCTGTTGTTCGAACCTCAAACCTAAAAGTGGTAAATATAGGCAATGAACACATTTTGTTTTGTAATGCTACTGTATGAGGGTTGAGTTAATTTAAGAACTGGGGTTACACCACATGTGACATTTCTATGAGGGCTCTATCCTCAGCTTCAGCAGCCAGTGAAAAATTCCAGTTGCAGTGGTGCCAGTAGCAGTTTGATTAAGTGTCCATCTTGCCTTTCCTCTGAGTGTATTGTGTCAACCAGATGTCCAGGTGACTCCCAGCTATACAGTTCTCTCCAGACCATAAGGTTCTTTACATGCGTCTACATTGCTCACTTGCTCCCAAATGACAGTGACCACATTTAGCTTGTCCTGCATAAATTCACCACCCAGTTGTGCAGTACCAGCCAGTCTGCCTGCTTTTTGTTTTCTCAACACACCTACCTGCCCCAGAAAGAATGCCCAAATCATGCCAACTACCAAGGACCTCTGCAGTGATGCTGCCACGTTGCAAAGAGAACTTATGAGAAATCAAGACCATTTGCTCCCAGCAAATAAATGTTTGATTATTCTTTCTGTTTCCTGTGTAGCTGACAGTTAGCCACAAACTGGACAGAAGTCTGCTGCCGCCTAAGAAGATCTTTGGGAATCAAACTGAATCATTCATAAAAAAGCGCCAGCGGGAGTTGGAGATATATTTACAGACTGTCATCATGTTTCTTGCGCAGCGCATTCCATCTTGTCTGGCATACTTCCTTGATTTTGATAAATATGTAAGCAGGAATTAAGTACCCTTTTAAAATTTCCTTTGAACTTTGCTTTAAATTGTTGCTATTTTATAGTAGAAAGCCGTGGTAGCTTTGTGTCTAGATACTCACTTAAAAGCTGTATGTCTAGGGTTATGATCCACAGTAAGGGAAATTAGTTTTTTTGCAATGCTGACCTTGGTTTCTCTTTTTGTGGATTCAGTGGTCCCATGGGTAGGGGTGCTGACCTACTGCCCCCTATAAGCATGTCCTAAGAGCTGACTAATTATCAGTGTTTACTTCAAAGTTGGAGTCAGTTTGCCTGAGAGGTGAGGAACAAACAGTCTGCATACCAATAAGCCAGATCTGTAAAATAAGTTTTAGAACAGGATGAAAGTTCAGAAGGGGATAATTAAATAGAATTTATTTGCCACTGGAGTTTACAGCCAGTGAACACTAAGAAGAAGAAGAAGAAGAAGAAGAAGATCTTGGTTCTCACTCAGTCTTAAATTGTTACCATGTAATATCCTGGGAAGTAAAGATGGCTGGTACACCGATGACGACATCACCCATATCTAGTGCCAGTTGGTCTATACAAATATAGGGCTAGCAGTATATGCCAGTTTTGAAAAGGGTCTCTTATGCCTTTACTCACTTACATATTCAGTTAATATGTGCATCCACCATTGTCTTTGGAAATATTTTGTGGTGAGGCATAGTCATTTCCAAAGTACAACTCTCATACCACTCTCCGAAAGCCACATGAATGATCTGTTTTTTTAACCGCTCGCTTTGGAAATTGATTCCTGGTGAAAGATTCTTCTTCTTCTTCTGTTTGCTTGAAATAAATTATCTGTGTCTGCAATGCTGTCTCTGATATGAACTTCACTGTCTGTTGTGATTCACTTAATGGCCTGTAATGATTGGCTTCCACCAGTGTCTCTCTTGGCCATTAGTATTGCCTGGAAAGGTCGTATTTGGGACAGTCTCAAGGGATGTGATATGTTGTCTCAGGTGCCAGTCCACATGTTTGCATGGCTGATTCACCAGTTGTGAATTTTGTGTACATGTGGCTGCGAAGTTGACTGTATCCTGCTCTAAGGCGTAGAGTAATAACTTGCTCGGGTCTGCCCAAAATATAGAAATAGTCTTTGTGCCAATTTCTGGTGAAACATGTTCATTAACCCTTAAGCCACAAAGAATGTATATCCTGGGAGAAATGAAGAACAAAGTGGAGATTTGTTGCAATCAGTCTTCATTGTGCTCGTAACTGATCGATTAACTCTGCCCTTCTGTTTTGTTTATTTTGAATGTAGTATTAAACTCTGAATAATTTGTAATGCCAGTAAATATTAAAAAAAAAAAAAAAAAACCCCACTATTTTGTTGTAATTGTGCATTGATTTTAATTGTGTGAACATGCATTGATGAAGATATTTAAATTGATTTTTTAAGGAAATTCACGGAATCACTCAGGCTATGGCAGAAGATCTGTACAGCAGAGGTGAGAAATAAATGTATTCTTCGTGCAAGCTTTTTATGTGTAATAATTTGAATTCTGAGAAACAGTTATGGTTTATTTTCTGTTGTGATCTTTTTCTTCATCAGCATTCTAAGCTTTTGAGGTTCATTGCTGCAAAAGACGAAGAAGAAGAAAGAGGTGGAGGAGGAGGTGGGGACTTGTGAATGTTCTAGAACAGGGCTATTTAACTGGCAGCCTGCAGGCCTAGCAAGTGGGCTGTGGATCACTGCCAGTTGTATTGTATTATTGGTCCTTCCATGCTGTGGCTTTAGTCTCTGGTCCGTGACGATCCCCATTTGTAACATTTTGGTCCTTGAGTAAATTTGGTTGAATAACCCTGAACTAGAAGGACTGGGGTTGAATGTAAGTAACTTTATAAAGCTTAATGAGGCAGTTAGATGGATTCTGATCTTGCTAGATGCTAGATAACACCAAGTGACCTAGAGATAATGGTGACTGGAGGACATTAGAAAGTAGGGACTGATGGACAGTGATGGTGGATTAAAAAGCAGAAATACCTAGCCGAATCATTGTTTCATCTATATTTTTTACCCACGCTAGGAGCGATAGTTGACGTCTGCCCTCAGCTAGTCTCTGCCATGTGTGATGAAGAACATTACAGTTTATTTTGTTTTTAATGAGGTATCAATTTGCAGTTGGGTCTGACTACCATGTCTTCTTCTTCTTAGCGTTCACCAGCTGTAAACTCCGGTTGGAAGTTCTGGTTGTTCGTCGACTTCTAGACTTTATGTTTTGTTCCAGAACTTGAATTTTACATGTGCAACAATTTTACAGAACTGGCTTACTTGTATGACGGCTGTTGGTTCCTCGCCGCTCAGGCAGATGTGTTCCGACTTCAGAGGAAAAATCTTTAACTAGTAGTCTCTTACAACAGGCCTGTTAGAGAGGCATTGGGTCTGTTCTTCTTCCCCTCAAAATCCGGCCTCTGAACCCACATGGGAAGGACTACCATATCAACCCAGCCTGTAAAGAGTCCTAGAAATTTTGTTGTGAAATTAAGGTGGCTGGTCTGATATTGGCCACATTCAGTCTATAAAGCACCTTATATCCAGTACACTTCGTCATGGGAAAAGGGTCCCATAGCATCAGTTTGATAGTTACCAATACGAGATCAGTCTGAAAGTCATGAGTTCAATCTTCACCCAGGGCTGATTTCCTTGTCTCCGAATATATTCAGATTTAGTGATGAATGTGTTTAAAGACAGAAACCATTAAAAAACAAGATTAGTAAAGTAAAAGTAAAGGATCTTTTCGCCTTCAGCAGTAGTTCCGAATATAGGGCTAGGCCTACATTTTTACGATAATTTTATGTCACCACAAACAAAGGAAACCCAGAAACCTCAGTTCAGCGCACTATTCCAGGGTTTGTATGTGTTGGGTTAATGTCAGAGTTTATTATGTTATCATTCTGAGTTTTTTTGTTTTTGCTTTGGGTGTCATCATTCTCGGCGTATGAGTTTTTTGGGCCTGTTTGGAAGTAGCGGTTGCACTTATTTCATGATTTCGCCATGAATTTCTTTGACCTGTCAGCATTGGCGTGTGATAAGAGGAGCAGCGTTGCTTTTTTGGCAGCAAGCATGCCATCTTGCATTCATCCAGACGCTACTCCAGGAATCATTTCATGGTGCTTCCACTGACTGAGAGTCTGGAGCGGCAAAGAAGAGAAACAAGAGGCAGAATAGCATCTAATTGCCTCCTGCCTGTGTGAGTTTATGGGGCATAGACACACTCAACTTGCTGCCCTCTACATGTTTGCAGCCATTCTTACAGAAATTGCTCCGTTTTGGCCACCGCAACTATAACAGTTGGTTGCTGCTGGCCGGCAGTTCAATCATTTAGTTATTTTATTCGCGCTTGACAGTGTTGTTGCATGGCATGAAGGTGTATCGGCACACGAACTGATAATGCTGCAGGAGATCGCAGATTATGGAGAGGCATGATTGCCCACGCCAGTCGGCAAGGCACCTGATGATGATGATTGTATTTGCAACGACATCTCCAGATCAACTAACCATGTAAAACTGAATGATTGTCAGCTCATGGGTAACCAACAGTATACATACTTAGAGACTGTCTGACTTTTTTTCCCAACATGATAGCCCTGTTTTAGCCCCCCCCCACCCCCTCCCTCAGTATCCCCAATTTTCCTCCACCTTGATGATTGCACATAGAGTTAATTCACACAGCAACAATAACACCACACACACACAAACACACACACGTGAGGGCATACACACAAAGTTGCACAGCAGTTTGTGAAAAAAAAAATTGCATGCACATTGTTTTTTCCACCCAATGCACACATACAGTTTTTCCACCCGGTGCACACATACAGTTTTTTCACCCGGTGAACACATACACTTTTCCGCACATTGTTACGAATGAAGTCATAACACTCTTGGATAGTGTACTGAACAGGGGTTTGGGGGTTTCCTTTGTTTGGGGTGACGTAAAATGATTGTACCCCTATATTTTATAGACCAGTCGGGTTCAATGGATGATGTGATCAGCATCATGCTGGCTGCCTTTACTTCCCAGGACTTTACCTGCTACCCATTTAATGCTTGGATAACCTGTGTGGCAAGGTGATTTAAAAAAAAACGTCCAGCTCTCTCATGACCTGAACCATCAACCTTTGGATCCGCAGGCGAGTATCTAGCCCCTGCACCACCCAAAAACAAGATTACGGATATAATATTTGAAATCACACACGGAAGGTAATAATGTAAGATTGTATGGTAAAGAGATGGAATAAATATGTCTATCTATCTATTGTCTTCTTCACTTTCACTGGGTTGCAGCCCAGTGTCGTGGTTTAAAATGTTTGTTTTTTGCCTCTCGCGTGATTTGAGTGACAGTTTTCTGGATCTTCTGGCCGTATTCAGCTACTCCGTTTATCTATTTTTTCCTGGGTCTTCCTCTGGCCTTTCTTCCCGATGTTCTACTGTAAAAGGCCTTATAGGCAATCTGATCCGGTTGCATTCTTACTAAATGGCCAAACCAATTCATTCTCTGTCTGATCGAATAAATATGAATCCACATATATTGCCTGATATATCAATTGGTGGGCTTAATGTTAATGGTACACCATGATTATGAAGGAACGGAAAGATTACAAATAAATGAATGTAATTCCTGTAACGTCTTTCAGAATGTAAGTCCTGTAATGTCTGAAGCGTCTCTTTCGGTACCAAGAGGATGTTTTTTTGGTTGTGTGTGTTGTGAAAAGTTGTTACTTGAAGTAATACATGTTTGAGTCTGAAGTTAAAATAATAAGAGTATGGGAAAAGAGGCAGCTTAAGTAGCTGTTGGAGCAGAGGGGATTGATGTAATGGTTGGATGGGTCACCATGAGGGTGGAAAAGCTAAAACATGTCATTTGAAATCAGCAAACACGGTTGCTTAATTATTTCTAAAATACCCTATTTGATTCAGCTGCAGGTGATTGGACATCAGATTGCTTTGCATTCTTCTTCTTCTTTGCGTTAACCAGCTGTAAAACTCTGGTGGAAAGTTCTGGTTGTCCCTCCACTTCTGGACTGCAGTCCTGTTCCAGAACCTGAGTGTTGCGTGTGCATTTGTTTGACAGATCTGACGCATTTGTGTGCAGACTGTTGGTTCCTTGCCTCTCAGGCAGATGCACTCCGACTTCGAAGAAAGTTCCCAATTAGTCCATTCTTACGACATGCTTCTGGGTAGGCAGTGGGTCTATTTTTGTTTTCCCTATAATAGGGCCCTGGAACCCACACAGGGGAGAATGCTTGGCATTGATTTTGACAGTCGTATGGGCATTAAGTGTCTGTGGCTTAGGTGTTGTGAATGTGCTTCATAATTCCAAAGTGCCTGGTTCGATTCCCAACTGCAGGTGATTTGGCCACAGGTTGCCTAGCATTGGTTTCAACAGTGGTGTGAAGAATTGACCATTCAGAAAGCAATGGCAAACTACTGAAAGTACAATAGCAATGAAATCACAAACACACCGCCCCCTCCCACACACGCACACACATGCTGGTGTTGATACTACAATGTTCACACAGTGTGCACTGCAAACTTAAAAAAAAAAGGGCAATAACCGTTAAAGAAGAATGGCAAAATACTGAATGGAAAATTACCTTGTAGAATCAGTCAGCCAGCAATGGCTGATGTTGACTTGCAATAACCTCATGTGAAGGATATTCACATAAGATAACATTATGAATATGAAAACTATGAATAAGTCAATTGTAAGCCCTGATAACCACTATGATGTTGCTTTAAATGTCTGGGTACCAGGAGAAATCTTGTTGCAGTCTCGAGAACAGTATGAAAACTATGAACAAGTTAGTGTAAACCCTGATAACTGTTAAAGTGTTGCTTTAAATGTATGTTTCCCATAAATGATCTTATTGTAATCTCGAGAACAATATGAAAACTGATAAGTCAGTGTAAACCCTGATAACAGCTATAATGTTGCTTTAAATGCACTTCCCTAGAGAGATCTTGTGGTAATTAAAATGTTGCTTTCAATATGTGATTCCCAGGAGAAATCTTATTGCAGTCTCGAGAACAATATGAAGTCAGCACCTTACAGTTATACTCACTGAAAGAAAGACTGAAGCTTCCAGAACCAACATGTGGTCAGTTATTATAAAGCATTTTGTTACTGCTAAGTTATAGTAACTGTTTTTTTTTTTTTTAGTATCCAGAAGCCACGAGTTGTTAACCCTTAGGCTCTGTATTGTGGATATCGCAACCCTTTGGTCTTGATTCCATGATAAATACCGTAAATCTGGGAGACATGTGGCTTTTCTGCCTACCCCCGGGCATGAACCCGGACCACAAGGAGTTCGTCACCCGGTCACCTCGCAATCCGGTTTAGCCAACTATGCTAGCGAGCCGGGCTTATAGTAACTGTTAAAACAGATGTGCATGCAAAACTCAAGTTCAGGAACACGACAGAGGTCCAGATGTGGACAAACAACTGACACTTTCTGCCTGAGTTTATAGCCGATGAACACTAAAAAGAAGCAGTATAAACAAGATTGTAATGTTTACAGTATAAAGGTAAAAAAAAGGTAAAGTTGGGAGATGTGAACCAGCGTCATTGCACACGGTTATAAACCATATGTGCTCTGCCACCAATACGGACAACTGATAAGACACTGTCTGCCTGTGTCGCCATCCGCACGAAACTCCATAGCTACAGCGATGTTCCTCCATTAATCCCAGAGTGTTAACTCTGGTACCCATTACCTAGAGGCTGGGTGAACCCCAGGAACAGCCCGGTTATAAAATCAGCCGTGGGCTGCAGCGAGTCTCAGCTGGATTTGCAAGCAAGTCTCCTATCGACTGCGCTAACATAAACGTGCATGTTGAAAGTAATATCTTAGACATATTATGTTTACATAAGAGTAGTAGTAAGTATTGCCTCAGTCATCCTCAGTTTCAGAGCTGTATCTCACATTGAAAAACAAACAAACAGTTAGGCAAATAATGATCAGCTCTGAATGACACTTACCTAATACACCGCTAGCATAAAACTTTATTTAAAACTGCCTGGCACATAAAGCATAGTAGGAAGACTATTGTCTCAGTCGTCTTCACTATTCTAGAGCAATATCAGATTCATTATATTTTCTTCTTCTTCTTCTTTGCATTCACTGCCATTTGAAAAAAAAAAAAACATATCCTGTTGATTTCTCTGGACGCCTTGGTAGCACATTGGTTAGCATGCTTACCTGTTGATCTTATGATCATGTTTTAAGTTCCCCATCAAGGTGGGAATTACTTGTGAAATTGGCAGTGAGATTCCAGATTAATTCAACTGAATATGAGTGCCAGGAAATTTGCTGGGAAGTAAAGGAGACTGGAGTGATAGTGACCACAGCACTAGTTGAGTGCTGAGAGGGATAGGGGAAAAAAACGTGAAGATCAAAATGATGCAAATTACTATAGCATTTTGTTGAACTGGTGAAGGACGGAGCTTTTGACTAGACAGCAGTAAAATTAGTGGTTTTCACACCATGAGACTTATTAGATAAATGGTGCTATTCCCATATTAATTAATATAGACAGGTGATAATGAGAGTGACAGGTTATCATCACATGACACTATGTTCCTATTGTTTCTGCCCACAGACAGTGGAGATGTGAAGAAAGACCTGGGGCACATTTTAGACTTCATAACCAGAGCCAAACATTTGAAGGTATGTTTCTGATCTTTCTTGGTTCTCTCTGGGCTTGGGGTTGGCATCTTGGCTAAGAAACACCTAAAACATTACCAGTAATCTAGACGTAGACAGTTTAGACCACTGGCTCTTAATTAGATAAGCCACCGCTGACCCCATTTATTGTTGCTGATCTACCACAAACCCCATACTTGTATTAGTCTTATTTAAACAAACTGGTAAATCTGTTTAGAATCGCAACCCAAAAAAGAAAGGGTTGAGGGTTGTTTTTGTGTTATAAATATTCTTCTGCTTCTTCGAGGTTGTAAACTTTGATAAAAATTTCTTGTTGTTTGTTCACCTCGGGACTTTACTCTTGTTCCAGAGCCTGAGTGTTGAGTGCACATCTGGTTTACAGATCTGACTTAAGTATGTGCAGATTGTTGGGTAGGCAGTGGGTCTATTCTTGTTTTCCCTTCAGTGGGGCTTGGGAGATAAGTCTTATAAAACAGGAACTCTGGTGTTCAGGTTGTGCATGCTAAAAACTATGTGTAGTTATTCTTTTGTTCATTGCAAATATATTTTTCTCTGTTTTACTGGCTTGCTTGCAGGTAGTTGGTTGGTGCTTGCTGCTCGGGCAGATGCACTCCGTTCGTGAAGGAAGTCCCCAGTTAGTCGACTACTACAACATGCTGTTGGGGAGGAAGTGGGTCTGTTCTTGTTTTCCCCACAGTGGGGCCTCGGAACGCACACGAGAAATCCTGCATTTACCCTTAAAAGGATAGCTGGCTCATTGTCTTGTGATTTGTAGGCTCTGATATCAGCACCTTTCATTCCAGTACATTGAAATTCAGCAAACCCTTAATTAGTTTGCCTTTTGCACAATAGATCTGTTCTGTTTTCCCTCCAGGAATGTACAAAAGAAGAATTTAAATCTTTTAATCATTTACTAGAAATGTGTTAGTATACCATCACATATAGGCTGTTTTTTTCAAGCATTGAATGAAAATTGTGTTTCTTATTTGTTAAATATTTTATGATACAGGTGATATGCAGCAAGGAACCAGTGGGCACAAGCAATATTATGATGAGCAAACTTCCATTTGATCTGACCCTGTTTAAATCATTACAGACGTTGGAGGTAATTATTGGTATTGTTTGTCTTCTTTCCATTTAGAGACCCAAAATTACACATATAATTAGCAATATAAGGACATTTTACATTGTACTATCAAAATCACACATCTTATAATTAGTAATATAATTACATTTTATAATCCAAATCACACATTGTATAATTAGCAGTGTAATAACATTTTACATTGTACTATAAGTAGGCATCAAAATCACAGCTGATGATGAGGGCAAGTGTGACTAGTAAGAAGAGTAGATTAACAGTAGAGAATAGCTGCACATTTGAGAAATGGAAAGTTCTGTGGAAAGACAGATAGAGGAATACAGTGAGAGAAAATTCTTGATAGACAACTAATTGACAGTTCTCGTCAAGGTTATGTGATTATCTATATACAGATGGCTCTGTATTCAGGGGCAGACAAAGTGCATGTGGATTCATAGAAAAAGCAAATGAATGTTGCTTAGTGCAACAAAGTCTGGCATATCTTCTTTTTCTTCCGGTTCACCGGCTGTAAACTCAGGCGGAAAGTTCTGGTTGTTCGTCCACTTCTGGACTCTAGTTTTGTTCCAGAAACTGAGTGTTGCATACACATCCGTTTCACAGATCTTACTCATTTGCATGCAGACTGTTAGTTCTTTGCCTCTCAGGCAGATGTATTCTGACTTCGAAGGAAGCTCCCAGTTGGTCAACTCTTACGACATGCTTTTGGGCAGGCAGTGGGTCTATTCTTGTTTTCTCCACAGTGGGGCCCCGGAACCAACACGGGGGAGTCTGGCATATGATATCACAACGTATAGTTTGAGAATGGAGGTGGAGGCAGTCTCTTCTGCTTTCCACTGGCTTCAGAATCAGCTGTACAAAATGCCGTGATTGTTACTGACTCACAGAGCATGTTGACAAAAGTGGATACAGGCATGCTCCGTGTAGAGTGGCAACCATCACTTCAGAGGTCCCTGGTAGTTAGCGTCCTTTGGATATTGTCTCCAGGTTATGCCAGTGTTTTGGGAAATGAGCAGGCAGACAGACTGGCCAGTTCTGCACTACTTGGTGGTGAATTGATGTATGACAAGCTGGATGTTGTAAGGGCCCTTTGGGAGCGAGTGAACAGTGCGGAGGCACAAATAGATCATTAGAGTCTGAGGAGAATGACGCTGTGAGAGTTACCAGAGGATCTGGCCCACGCTCAGCACTCAAGGAAAGGGTGAGATGAATTTACAATCAGATGATTACTGGTACCATCAGAATTGGAACTCTTCGCTTACAGCTGAAGATGGGAACTGAGCACTTATGGCAGTGTCCCAAGTGCTGTGATGATGATTCTTAATTCAACATTCAACATTTTTTATAGCCTTGTATTATGGTATAGAAATGTCTCAGTACATAAATTGAAACACACTCTTTGAGATCACATGATGGGGAGACACAAAATTATCCTTGTCATTTTTCAAAAACATGTTGATGAGTTCATGATTCTTGGATTATATTTCTTTGTTGTCAGTCTTGTTATCATATTTTATGTCTTTTTGTGAATCAGTAGTGAATTGTGGACAGTTGACAATAATATAAAAAAAAACTGGAATTGGTAGATTCAGTAAAATATTTTTGTAGATAAATGATAAGAATACCCTGGACAGATAAAAAGAGGTATGAAGATGCCTTGAAAGAAACTGACTCTACATTCTTTGGTCTTGTCATGAGAGGGAGAAAACTGGAAAACATCATGATGGTATGAAAGTTGGAGGGGAAAAGAAGCAGAGGGAAACTGAGAGAGAAGATGCTGGACAGAGAAAATCATCTACGTTGGAATTGATTGAACGGAGGCACGTCAGACAGAAAGTTATTGATGGACGTGACTGCAATACCACGCAGCATGGACCCAAGAAGAAGACGAATGTGAATCATTGACGGCTGTCCCATACTATTGTTCGTGTGGTTTAGTCACAGATCAGTGGATGTAATTTCTGAATAGTAAGAAATTGAAGGAGAATGTGACTTATTGACTGTTGTCCCATAGTCTTGTTTGTGTGGTGCTGTCACAGATCAGTGGGTGTAATTTCTGAATAGTGAGGAAAATAATAATAATGAAAATAATAATAATAAGAAGGAGAAGATGAAGAAGAATGTGAAGAATTGACTTCTGTCTCATACTGTTGTTTGTTTGGCTTTGTGACAGATCAATGGATGTAATTTCCGATTAGCATATGGACTGGAAACTGTCAAGCAGACAGCAGTGAAGCTTGAAGTGCATGAATCCACATCTTCCATGAAGGTATACTATCTTGATTAGACTGTTTGCTTCATTCCCATAAGTGCTCCATTCCCCTAAGTGCTGCATCCCCACCTTCAGCAGCAAAACCAGCAATTCCTATGTGTCACAGACCTCTGGGTGACCTTGATGGTCTGTGGCTCGTAACTGGGCCTATGACAGACAAACTAACTTTTAACACACACTGAACCCGAACGCATACAGTGCACACACGACAATCTTTATTGCAAGTACAGGTAATACAACAGACAGTTGACGTCCCGCTGTGTGGCCACCTATTGCCTGGACCCTGTGGCCGAACGAGCTTTACAGTCACCTCGCTTTCCAGTCCGTTCCACAGGCAATCTCTGGTGCACAAACCACAGCCAGGCGGGATACGCTCTTTCCTATCAACACACTAACCTACCAAGAAGTCACAGTCTTTGTCTAGTGCAGGTTCTGCGTGACAAGGTTAGACATTCTCTTACAGAACATGTAGCTAAACGATTTAACTGGTCAGAAGTAACTGGACACTACTTACTTATTGTGAAACAACACAATACATTGTACCAGTTAAATACACAGCACAAAATACTATCCTATTCTACTGTGTTCTTTCACCTCGTGTCTTTTTACTCGTTCACCTGCCCAGTCCCCCATGGGGCAATCATGTTGCGAACTTGTCTGTAACAGAGTTCACTCTTACTTGTCTTCAAGTGGTCTCTACTAAGCGATAGTTTCACTGTGCAAATAGCACAGACTTGGCCAGTCACGCCACTGACCTTTGTGTCAACCCTTGGGTGTCACCTGAACACGGTACACCCTATTGTGTGGTCCATTCCGCCACATGACTGTACTCACTGGGTTGTGACACTATGATACCAGTAACAGTCTGATTGTAAGTCTGTTTCACATTTCCCTTGAGTGTTGAGAGTCAGCCAGATGCCCTGGTCACTCCTAGCAGTACCATTCTCCTCAGACCATGATGATCTATTTCTGCCTCCACTACAGAGGACCCTTACAGAATCTAGCTTGTCATACAGTGACATCAATTCACTTTTGCTATGAACTACATACCTTGTTCTGCCTTTCAACACAGAGCCATCTGTATAATCACATCATTTGGTTTGCAATTGGCATGCATCATTTGATGAGCTTTCTGCAGAGCCCACTGGCCAGTCCCTGCACTCACTGCCCAGTTTGCTTAGAACCCTACACAAGTCTGACTGTTGCTTGGACACTTCTGTCCTCACACAGTATTATCAAGCTTGCACACCTGTTTAGATTGTTTAGATTTTACATGCAAGGATAGTAATGTTTAATCTTGCCACCCTTTTCATTGTCACAATTTGCTCTCCTGCTGTCAACCTTTCCATCTCGAGTATCGCTTGGAAAAGCATACCATGTCTTTCATTGTAGCTGAAATATTTCATTTCTCTCTTTTATTTTGACATACCTAACATTAAACAATTCTAATTGTTAAAGTTTTTTTTAGCATGCTGTAATTAATCTGCTCTTCATTGTATTCTAGCATGTTTAAAACAAACTGTTTGCCTCTTCCTCAGGAGATTTTGCTCCAAGATGCTCCTCACTGGAGAGCAGAAGATGGCTCTGTCATTGTCGACCCATGGAATTTTATCACAGAACTGAATCTCAATGGCAATTCATTTTCAGAAATCCATGAGAGCATTGTGAGTATACCAGTTCTTTTACAGCATGATCCTTTTATGTGCACAAAATAGTTTTGAATGATAGTTCTGATAGATGAGACATTATTGTGCAGAGGCTAATATGCTTATCTGCTGGCCCAGTAGTTGTGTTTGGAATTCCAGTCAATACAGGAATATTTTAAAGATAGGATATTTGTGAGAACTGAATAGTGGCTGTGAATTCGCAACCATGACTAGACTGCAAGAATAGCATTTTAAAAGAGGTGTGGCCAGACAAGAGCATTAAGCAGGAAGCCAAAGAAGAATAAGAAATCAATACAGAACTGGGGTCATCGGCCCCTACAGGTTGCAGATTTACTGAGGAGGGGATCCAAGCACTTATGGACTGAATGGCTCGGTGTGCAAATAGGATAATCTTCTAATAATTTACTATTAAAAAAATTGACAGGCTTTTAGGTTGACTCAACCTATACCCTGAAATGTCCTGGACAGTAAAGGTGGCCGGTGAAACATTGACTAAATCACCCTATTATGCTATGGCCTACAATATTGGTTTATTTTTATTTAGATTTAGGTTAAAGTTTATTTCACAGCTCATGGATAGCTCCATAGGTACTCTAGTCTCATTTCATTGATCACACGAGGAGAATCTCATCACTGGGCACAGAGTTCATAGCAGTGGATGCAAATGTGTTTGTAACAGAATCTCACGTAGTGTATTCTTTTTCTTTGTAGGTTTTCTATTGTTGAAGTTCAACCTGGCTAGCATTGTATTAGCCTACTCATTTTTTAAAAATTTCCAGCCGGAGTAATTATTAGCTTGTGCAATGTTCAGAAGCTCAGTGGTTCTTGTCCCTGCTCGAGAAAGCGAAATGTCCAGACCGCCACCACAGAATCTGAGGATTTTAAAAATCGTCTTCTTGACATCTTTCATCTTCCAGGGGAACATAAGTAAAGTAAAGGACCCTTTTTATGCCCTTGGCACATTGGGCATTTGGTATAGGAAGAAGAAGACAAAAAAATATGACTAACTGGATAGGTTAGTTTTGTCTTTACATAATTATTAATTTAATTGCTTGCATACTTTGCTGAAGGTGAATGCTTTAATACAATGGCTGGACACCCATCTGCCAGCACAAAGGTTTTAGGGTTTGAATCACAGTGAGTGAGATCTTTTTCAAAATTGACATTGGCTCCCAGTTCGGCCAAGCCTGTAATGGATACAAGTAATCTTCTGGGAAGTAAAGACATCTGGCGTGATGTTGACTACATCATCCACCAAGTACCAAATTGATCTTTAAAAATCTGTCTAGCATAGTCTGCTAGCTGCGCCACTGGCGTAAAATTGGTCCTTTACTTTTAGATTCTTTATACTCTGTTATCTCTTCTAGTCCCACAAGGTCTTAGCTAATGTCTGAGGCAGTTGCGAATGGCAATGCTAAACTCATGGGTATATAAGGGGGTATCCATGGCGAAGTGATCAAGCCATTTGCCTCGCGCTTTGAAGGTTTCGTTCCATGGCTGCGTCATTTAGTTCATAAGCGCAGCTGAAGCTGTGGAATTTGTGCTCACTGTGATGCTCTTGGCATTTGGCTTGCCGTTCTGCAGAGAGACAGCCATATGGGATAAAACCCGGTGCAATGAAATCATCTTCTCGACTTCAACCTTTAACCTCCATGGTTATACTGCTTCCAGAGGGCCCAGATATACAACAAATATATTTTCAGTCCTTCAGAGTCGCTGTCTAAACACAAGATGTAATAACATGTTGATTGGTACATGCCAGTTATACCCAGTCATACATAGTGTGTCGTTAATAAATAGTTGAAATACCCACACAGTCTTTGCTTCACTTCCAGCAACTGATTCCCAATGTAGAGAAACTGAACCTGAGTCACAATTCGATTGAAAGCATCCAGAATCTCCAGTGGCTGTGCGCGCTGACCCATGTGGACCTCAGCCACAACAACATTCGTCATGCAGACTCCTTGCACACAAAAATGGGCAACATTAAATGTATACGGCTGGCACACAATGAGCTGGAGAGCTTGCATGGTGAGTTTTTGATTTATTGTCTCCACGGTGAGGGAGTTGAAGCAGCTTAGTGGCTAGATATTTGGCTGTAAGCCTGAAGGGCTAAGGTTCAAATTTGCACTAGGTGGATTTTAAAAAACAACAATGACTTTGACTTAAGGCTGGGCACATAAAATGGGTACAGAGATATGTCAGGGGAAGTAAAGGTGGCCAGTGTAATGTTGACCACATCAGCTTTCAAAACCCGATTGGTCTAAACAAGTATGAGTCTAGCATAATTTTCCAGCGTGCCACCGGTGTGCCCCCCACCCCCCTCCCCCGCAAATATTTTTGTTTAAAAAAAAACAAAAAACTTGTTAGCACTTAGTGCACTGAAGGAAGGTCAGAAGAGATGATAGGAGAATAAAATATGAAATTAATATTATGAACTTATGATGAAGAGATCATAGTGTGAGCTGCATGAAATGACAAAGAATAGAACAGCCTGGTGCTAGTTGGTTCAGCCTATATGCTTCATTGAGAATAGAAGGAAATAATTTTAGCTTAAAGATCAGATAGAGATGTTAACTTTTTGTGTCTGAAGATTTTGTAACTGAATTTCAGGGCAGAAAATAAAATGATAAAAAAAGCAGCAACAAAAACAGCAACAATATCGAAACAAATATGAGTTGAGCATAATTTGTCCATTGCGCCACAGGTGCTGAAAGTTTAAAAAAAAAAACACACACTTTGTAGCACTCTGCCAGTTAGCTTTACATCCTATGAAATTTCCTTGAGCCCAGGTTAGTGTTAATTTGATCCTTTCCTATGAAGTTGAAGAGCATATGCTGGAGAGGCAATGAAGCAATAGTCTGCATACAAATAAGCCAGATCTGTAAAGCAGATTCCCCATGTGCATTCGGAGGCCCCATTGTGGGGAAATCAAGATAGTTCCACTGCCTCCCCAACAAGCATGTATGTTGTAGGAATCGACTAATTGGGGGCTTCCTTTGAAGTCGGAGTGCATCTGTCAGAGCGACAAGGAACAGCCAACTGCACACAAATAAGCCAGTAAATGGATGTACAAGCAAAACTCAGGCTTTGGCACAAGACCAAGCGGATGAACAACCAGGCCTCTCAGCTGGAGTTTACAGCTAGTGAACAAAGAAGAAAAAATAAAGCAGATGTGCACTCAAAACTTGTTCTGGAACAAAAGTCTGGAATTGGATAAACAATCAGAACATTCTGGAGTTTACAGCTATTGAACGCGAAGAAGAAGATTGTGATCCTCATATGGATTCAAACCTGTAACTATTGAGCCAGCAGGCAAATATGGTAGTCACTATGCCACTGCAGCTATATGGTAAATGCTGAGTTAATATTAACAGAAATGGAACTTTACCCTTGAGAATATTACATGGGGAGGACCCGGTCTCTTACATGGTGCAACTATTGTACCTCTGTCTGAATGCCATAAGAATATGTTTTAAAAAAACAAAAAATCCCACTATGCATTGTCTCATTATAAACAGTAAGTGCAATTCTTAGCTCCACCCTTTTTGACTGTTCAGCCTTCTGTGGAGACGTGGTTGGTTACATACCTATCGTATGTAGAGACCATGAGACCTCGTTGGTCGCGCAGTCCTTCTGGGGAGCCGCTATTGTGTAGCGGCTAGATGCTCGCATGCGGATCTGAAAATCTGGGTTCAGTCCCTGTTTTTTGTTCCCCCCAACTTGACCTTGGCTCCCACGTTGACCCAGCCTCAAATTTGTGCCAGCTAAAAGTTCTGGGAAGTAAAGGTGACCGGCGTGATGTTGACCACATCACCCTTTGAGGGCCGATTGGTCTGTGGAAATAACAGTCTAACCTCGTATGCCTGATGGGCCACTGGCATGTAAAGCTACCTTTACCTTTATCTTTACTTTTTTGGCTGTCCCCAGTGTGGGTTCCGGGGCCCGATTGTGGGGAAAACAAGAATAGACCCACTGCCTCCCCAAAAGCATGTCGTAAGCGTCGACTAATTGAGGAGCTTCCTTTGAAGTCGGAGTGCATCTGCCGGAGAGGCAAGAAACCAACAGTCTGTATTCAAGAGAATGAGATCTGTAAAACTGATGCACACGCAACACTCAGGTTCTGGAGCAGGACTGCAGTTCAGTAGTGGACGAGCAACCAGAACTTTCCGCCAGAGTACAGCTGGTGAACGCGAAGAAGAAGAAGAAGAAGACTTTTTTGGCAAACTAAACAGTGGTGATAACCATCTTGTTGAGGGTGTTAGTAATGGTGGCAGTGGTGGATGATAATTCTGGTTTAAATGGTGATATTTGTAGTAACACTGGTGATTAATGATGGTGACACTGGTCATAATTATTTTGACGGTTAAATTAATTATAATTACAATGGTGTTAGGGGCCTCCATGGTGTAGCGACTGTACAATCGCCTGCGGATTGGAAGGTTGTTGGTTTGGGTCCTGACTCAGCTGGAATTATTTTTCAAAAATAGCCTTGGTTTCCATGTTGACAAGCCTTAAATGGGTACCAGGTACAGTCCTGGGAAGTAAAGGCGGCCGGCCTGATGTTTACTACATCACCCATTGAATGCAGATTAGTCTATCAAATATAGGTGTAGCCCTATGTGTGCCCAATATGCCTGAAGGCCTGAAAAAAGGGTCCTTTGCTTTCACAGTGGTATTTAATTATGGGAGCATTGGTGATAATTATGGTAATGATGGTGATAATTATGGTAATGATGGTGATGATGGTGATAATTATGGTGATGATGGTGATAATTATGGTGATGATGGTGATAATTATGGTGATGATGGTTATAATTACGTGATAATAAAATTGTTGTTGCTGACGCTATTAAACATTTTTTCTTTATAATTCCATTTCAGGATTTGCTAAATTGTTCTCACTGCAGATTTTGGATGTCTCATTCAACAAAATTGCTACAGTAATAATGTTTTGCATGTTTATTTGGTTTGTGGTATATAGTCTCGTTTCTTGTTTGGAATACCTGTTTAATATTGTGTTTGCATGTCACATTTCTGCAGTCGGATATATAGTTAAAGTTCTTATAGCTTTGTTTTTAGATGTGTGTGTGTGTGTGTAAATAAATGCTTTCCTTCAAATATTGAAATTTGTTTGTTGTCGTTTTTTTCTTTCTGTTGAACCTACTTGTTTAATGGTATGTTTGTTTCCACCTTATATTGTATTGTACCGTACTGTACTGTCTTGTCATGTCCTGTTTTGTCTTGTCATGTCCTGTCTTGTCTTGTCTTCTGTTGTATTATATTATATATATTGTATTGTATTTTATTATGTTGTACTGTCATATGTATTATCATACAGGTATTGGAAATTAGGATGCAAATGACAACTTCAACAAAGATGTCATCATTATCATCATCATGATCGTCGTCATGTTTTATTCTTTGCCCACAGTGCTCTGAACAATCTACATGACAGTCATATCTTCACTGACCAGTTTTTGTCCAAATTTCTCCATTCATTTTATCTTATTCCAGAACTTGAGTTTTTGCATGCACATCCGTTATACAGATCTGTTTTTTTTTAAAATGCAGATTGTTGGTTCCTTGTCTTTCAGGCATGTGCACTCTGACTTTAAAGGAAACACCTCTAATTAGTTGACTTTCACAACATTCTGGTTAAGGGGGCAATGGGTCTATTTTGTTTGCCCCACCCTAAATCTTCTTCTTCTTTCGTTCGCTTGAAATAGATTATCCAAATCTACAGTGTAGTCTCTGGTATGAACTTCACTGTCTGTTGTAATTCACTCAGCAACCCGTAGTTTGACTTGCACCGATGTTTCTCTTGGCCAAAAGGTTTACCTTGATATGCTGTATTTGGGACAGTCTTGGAGGACATGATCTGTTGTCTCAGGTGCCAATCCAAATTTGCACATGTCTGATTCGCCAATTTTAAATTTAGTTAATGTGGCTGCAAAGTCCTCCTAAATCTCCATTGAGTGGGGCCTCAGAACACACACAAGAACTGAATCTGAACACTTGGTAGTATACAACATAATACTTTTTATCTTCGTAAAATGTCATCATTCAACTAGACTCTGTTTTTTCCCCAAAATATATGACTTACATTAATTGAATCTTTTTCTTACATTGACTTAATTTTATAGATCATCATCATCATCCAATTGTGCTAGGATATCACATAGAGCTTGCAGACTATTCTTCCGTATGTTCAGCCCTGTTCAGTATTATGGCTGAAATCCAGTCTAGCACTCTTGGCCTCTTTTATCAGTGTTTGTCTTAGGGTATCTTTTGGACGTCCTCATTTCCTCAGTCCATTTATTTCCCATTTCAGTGTTTGCTTCTTCTCAGTATGTGCCCAGTATATCACCAGCTTATTTGTCTTATAACTGTGGAAACCAGTGACTATCCTGACGTTTCTATTATTTCTTTGTCCTTCTTGGGAGCTGCCATGGTCCAGCGGCTAGATGCTCACCTGTAGATCAGAAGGTTGTGGGTTCGGTTCCTGACAGGGGCCGGACTTATTTCAAAAATCACCTTGGCTCCCAGGTTGACCCAGCCTTGAGTGGGTACCAGGTACAGTCGTTGGAAGTAAAAGCTGCAGGCGTGAACCACATCACCCATCAAGTGCCAATAGGTCTATAAAATTTAGATCTAGCCTTATATACCCAATACGCCTGAATAGCGTGGAAAATAATCCTTTAGTTTTTTTTTTGTCTTTCTTGTCTTTTTGTCTTTCTTGAACTCATCCTCCCCTTGTGGGTTCCAGAGCTCCAATTTGCCACCTTAGGGGGATACAAGAATCAAACCACTGGCCCTTCAATAAGCATGTTGTAAAAGCTTGTTAATTAGAGGCATTTCCTAAAAATTTGGAACACTGCCTGAGAGGCAAGGATAAACCAGATCTGTAAAACAGTTGTGCACACAAAACTCAAGTTTCTTTGCCCTGGAGTTTACAGCCGCTGAACACTAAGAAGAGGAAGAAGAAAAAAAGAATTCCTCCCATTTTAATGTTCCTCAATTTCCTTAGTCATTTATAATTGAATACATTTAACTTTTGTTCCTTGTCTTTATTTATTCTCCAGCTGTCACTGGCATTTGTTAAAATTGAATAGCTTTGGGTTATTTTACAATTTTTAGATAGAGGACTTGAAATATGTGAGTCAGTTGCCTTGCCTGGAAGAACTCTCGCTAGAAGGCAACCCGGTGATGTCTTCGCTGGATTATCGCACCAAAACTCTTCAGATGTTTGGAGATAGAGTCCAGGAGGTTGGTACAAACTGAAACTACTGCTTAACTCTTTCTCTCCTAAGCATTGCACTGTCTGTGAATAATATTCTTTATTTGAGCCATTTTTGCTGCTCTGTGGCTTCAAGGTTAGTCAGTGCGCCACACAGATTGAATGTTGAATTAAGAATCGACCTCACAGTGCTTGAGACACTGCCATAAGCGCTCTGTCTCTATCTTCAGCAGCAAGCGAAGAGTACTAGTTCTGATGGTACCAGTCTGATTGTATATTCGTCTCGCCCTTCCCTTGAGTGTTGAGTGTCAGCCAGATCCCCTGGTAACTCTCCGCAGCGCCATTCTCCTCAGACTGTAATGATCTATTTGTGCCTTTGCACTGTTCACTCACACCCACCCACACAGGTTCACAATTCTTAATGTACCAGACTTCAGTTTTCATTAAAACAGTTTATTTAAAAAAAAAAAAAAACACTTTCTCACAGCAGTTGCACAGTGGTACAAGAGTCAGCACATAAAGGAAATTGTGGCCTTACTAGATAATATCCAAAGAAAGCAGTGGTACATTGCAGCTAGCCTTCATTTTTAGTTTTAGTGCACCAATAAAGGTAGCATCCTTGCTGTTGTGGCAGATTCCATGCACTTTAGAGATGATCTCCTTATGTGACAATAAACTAACTGTCAACTAACCAACCGGCCAGCCTGTCTGTTTCTGAAGTTGAGCTGAGTTTAAGTCTCATAGCACTGCACTGTGGACATTCTCATAAGTGCTCTGTCTTCATTCTCAGCAGACAGCGGCGATGTTACCATTAGCAGTTTGATGTCTATATCTCGTTTTGTCTGAATGTTGAGTGTCAGCCAGATTTCCTGGTCACTCCTTATTGCACAATTCTCATCAGACCCTTATAGACTTTTCACACTTACCATTGTTGATTTGCTCCCAAAAGGCGTAACCACAACCAGCTTGTATATGAACATGTTCATATCCTATTGGCACAGAACCAGCCACTCTACTGCCAATTAATTCTAACTCACCTCCATCCTGAATAATATGCTTTTGGAGAAAAGATACAAAAGACACTAACTATCCAACTACTAAGAATCATTACCAGTGCAGCAGAGTGTGTGCTCTGTGCTTAGTCCTATCATTTGCTGTTGTTAATGTTTGTCCCTCAAGTACATCAATCCCTTAACTTGTCATCTCTACCCATGCACATTATCTTACAAATCGGAAAGAATGTCATTGATGTAAATTGTTGTATCAACTTTTCAGGTGTTTCTAGACCACAACCTCCTTCTGGATCATAAACAGCTGGATACCGTGGCAGTACTGCAGGCTTTGCAGAAAGCTAAGGATGTGGAAGTCACCAAGAAAGTTCAAACCAAAAAGGTTGTAGCATAGTGTCGAGTTTGTCAGTAAAGCTAAGGTAGCAAGTTTTTACTAAAGAATGTTTAATAGAGTAGAAGTGTACAGTTTTTGTCAGTAGCTAAAGGAGGCAAAGTTACTAAGAAAGTTAAATCAAAGAAGTTTGTACAAGTTTTTGCCAGTATAGCTAAGAAATGTGAAAGTCATCAAGAAAGTTCAAGCAAAGAAGGTGTTTGTTGGAACAAGTTTTTGTCAGTAAGCTAAGGATGCAAATGTTCACTAAAGAAATTTCAACACAAGAAAGTTTGTACAAGTTTATGTCAGTAAGCTAAGGGATTTAAAGTTCACTAAGAAATTTCAACCAAAGAAAGTTTGTTACAAGTTTTGTGTCAGTAAAGCTAAGGATGGAGCAAAGTGCATTAAGAACAGTTCAAGCAAAGAAGTTTGTACACAAACACAAACTGCCATTGTCAAGTTTTCAATTCATAATTCTATTTAAATTAAAAGGTCAGCTTGATTTGATTTGCTGTATTAAATGTGGTGTTTTGTTAAAATCTTCTATCAAGGGTGAAAAATATGTCCCTGGCACTCACTGCCCTTTCACAAGTATTTGGGTGAAAGGCAACTAATTAAGGGTTTGTTTGCTGAAGCTCATATGTGTTACATTGAAAGGTGAAAAAAGAAGCAAAATACTCGTATTTTTTGTCGGTGATCTCGAATTTCTGAGGTCTACAGCTGCCATATCTGCTGGCTTCCAAATGACCTATCCCCTGATGAATGAGATGTATCAATTTTACGGAAGTTAGATTAAGCAGTCCATGGCAGGATATGAAGATTCCTTGGGTGAGGCTTAATACTACTAGAGCACCAGGTATTGGCCTTTGCATTTTATGGAAGCCTTATTAGAATTGGGATGCCAGCGGTGACTACGGTTCCTTAGATACAACTGGGGTCCCCATATGCTCAGGGGCATGCGCCGTACTGGAAATTGGGGACAGATTTCCTATTTCCAGCTCACAGTGTAACTATAGCTTTCAATTTTTTATGTATGCTCTAAGTCTTGTCTACTTCTTTCTGTGAGTGCCAAATCAATACATTTGTCCTGTTACTTTATTATTCAGATGATGGCGAGCAATGTTTATGTTCTGTTCGGCTCTCTGCCTTCCATCTTGAGGGTTGACCAAGCTTTCGTGTATCTTCTGCTGGACTGGCCTAGATGAGGCGAAAGCGTAGGGAGGTGGAGGTAATGGACACCACTCTGCCGGACCTAGCAACCCCGTAGCAAACATAGCTGACCATGCCCAGCAATGTAGAACGGTACTGTCCCACAAAACTAACCGGAAGTTTAACTCTAGCCGTCAGCAATTAACTAGCGGAATTTTGGATGTATTGGCCGAAGGCCCAAATTATCACTAGCCATCTTGTAAACGAGGCAAACACATTTACATCTTCGGTATGCTACAAAGACTAGAGAAGAACAAAGGATTGCAAATCATCACAGCGCTAGTTATAAACCACAACCCAGTAATACCAACTACAATTTTAAGAGCAAGCTCAGAATAGAGGTAAAACAACACAACAAGTCATTATCTGTCTTTCTGTCTTAGTATACGTTCTCTGGTCTTATAGAATGCATTACAAACCTTTAATGGAATTATAGTTATTTAGTTTAGTTAGTTGGGTATCCTCATTGCACTCCGGACATGGCCATAGGTGCTCAGATTCTCCCCCTCAGTATAACCAATGTCCGATGGCTATAGTCCAGTTCTATGTTGATTACCAAGTCTTCTGGCGTGTCTGGTGGCGCTCGTTTTTTTGCTGTCCGATCTTAATTCCGCAAGTCTGCCATTCTGCCAGTGATGTGGATTCACTGCCACCAAAGTCCTCTATCCGTCCCATTTCTCTGAGGGCATTGGCTATAGCACATATCCAGTAGGCTACCGTCATGTGATAGCTGATCCAGCCACTGTCACTCTTCATTTCCAGACCCCGCGTACCCCGAACAAAATAATGGACTCCACACACATTGGATTTTTGTAATGATTAACCCTTTGTCTTCGCACTGAACCTGCCCGAACCTCCAGATCATATCATTGAAACACGAGTTACACACGCGGGGTATTTTTTTGTTTCAAACCAGGCAACGCTTGGTCACTGTCACACCTCCCCGTCATTTAACCCCCATGGCGACATTTCCTTTTTGGAAAACTTTTGCCACGTTTTATTTATGCTCTCTTTTAAAAATGGATCTTTGTCAGTCTCTCTGAAGTTATACCAGTTCCCTTTAGGTTCATTGTGTGATCAGCCAGATGGAGTGGAGGGGCCACAAACCCTCCCACCCAAAGGTTATTTTGAACGTGTTCTCGATTAAAATGTCTATTTTGTAAGCAGGGTTTTTGTTTATATACCCTTCCCTTATTATCTATAAAAAAACTATCGAAACCAGTGTATTTTCTAGAGCTTAAAAAGGGAAAATACGGGAATGATATTAAAATTAAACACACAGAGCAGGGAATTTCAAAAAAAAACTGAAAGCTGAAAAGACAAAAAAAGTGATATAGGGGATTTACCCAAACCCTTATTTTTGCAAAATCGGATGTAAAATTTTTGAAACCAAAAAACTTTTGTTTTTCTTTTTTTAAAATTTTTCCCGTCTTTTAATTTTTTTTTTGTTTTTTTTTTTGGAACAGGTGTTTTGAGGGGAAATCTGTGCCTTCAAGTTAAAGGGGAAAAGTCACAAAAAGGGCAGTACTAGCAAAAAATTAGAATTTTCAAGCCCATTTACCAGGGGGGGGGGAATAGTTTTTTTGGTCGCAAATAAATTGCATAATAACAAAAAATCATGTAGAAAAAAACATTCCCCTGCTTTTTGTAAAGTAGTATAAGAATTGCGGGGAAAGGGAAAATTTTGGAACCCCCCCCCCAAAACTCTTTGCTCAAAAAAAGGCTGAAAAAAAAAAAAACCCACGCGTTGAGTCCAGTTCCCCTCAAAATGTCCCCTTTTCTGATTTGTCTCCCAAGAAACCGGGTTAGGAGATGCATATTTTTTTTTTTATGCTTCTCCCAAGCTTTAAAGGGGGGCAGTTTTATAAATTTGCATTAACAAACGGGGAGCTTTTGGGTTTTCTTTTGAGCTAAATAGTTCTTTAGAGCCGGGTTTGGGACATAAAAATTTTTCCTAAGCCTAAGATAGAGGCCCAGGGGGGTAAACCCCATAATTTCCCCCAAATAAAATTTTTTTTAAAGGCCCTGGGAAAATGCATTTTTTTTAATGTTCCTAAGCCATTTTTTGTTTTTTTTACCCCTTTTCATAAAACTTTTAAATTTCAAAAAATAATTTAAAGATGTGGGCAAATACATTTTTAACAAAATTTTTGGGAAACCCGGGTTTTAAAAATTATAGTTTTTACTTTTTTTTTGGATCTAAAAGGGTCATGACCTATTTTTCTTAGGATCCGGGGAGTAAAAGGGGTTTAAATAATCCCCAAAGACATCGGGGGTTTAAAAATGAACCCAACCCGCCCAGGGGAAAATGACACAAAATTAATTTATTTAAAATTTTAAAAAAATTAAAAAAATTTAGTGGGGCCCCTCACCCAGGGAATCCTAATAGATCTATAGGGCCCTGATTTTACCCCGAATAATTTCATGATGATTATGAACTTTCTGTGTTGTTTGATCAGACGCTTTTAAATTTTAAAGTAAAATGTTCAGGATTTCCCAAAATTTTAGATAAAGAAAAATTTGATATTCGCTAAATACCCTCCATTACAGTTTTTTTAGACTTAAAAACAATAAAAAATATAATAAAGGTTAGTATCTTTTTAAAAGTTAGGGCCACCTTTTGTTTTGTAGCGGCTAGAGTTCACCCCAGTTTCGGAAGGTTGGGTTTGGGGGCCCTGAGGAAGCCAGCCCTTTTTTAAAAAAAAGGGACCTTGGCTTCCAGGCAACCCAGCTTTGAATGGGTACCGGGTTTACAGCCCTGGAAAGAAAAAAAGGGGTTTTGGGCGCTTGTTTTGGAACCAAATCCCCCAGGGGGGCCCAAATTTGGTCTAGGAAAAGGTTTTTTGATGATTAACCAGAAGGTGTTTAAAGTTTTGTTTCAGATCTCCAGATTAATTTTTAAATTTCAAAACCATGAGTTTTCCGGTGTAGGTTCAGAGGGGCCAATAATGGAGGTTTGGGGAAAAGGGGGGGGGGGGGGGGGGGGGGAGGGACTTGATTCACTGCCCCCCTAAAATGTAAAAGGCAAAAATTGGGGGAGTTTTCTTCAAAGTTTGGAGAGTCTTCTGTCCCGAGAGGTGAGGAACCAACATTTTGCATAAAAATAAGCCAGATCTGTTTAAAAAAGATGCGCGCCCCATAACATGAGTTTTGGGGAAAAAGACCAGAGGACATTTAATAGAGGAAAAAAACACAAGTTTTTGCCAGTTTACAGCCCGTGAATGCTAAAAAAAAAAAAAAAAAAAAAAAAAAAAAAAAAAAAAAAAAAAAAAAAAAGGAAGTGGGATGTAATTACTTTTGTTTAGCAGGGCACCAGTTAATAAAAAAATTTTAATTTATTAATAATATTTATTGCTTTTTGTTACATTTTCTTTTTTACAGGGGTTTTTTCTCTGGGAAAACCCGTATTCATGAAGGGGAGGGGTTTAGAGTCCGGAAAATGAAAACATATTTTTGCCCAGATTTTACTGCCGCCCCCCCTCAGATTTTGGCATTCAAACAGTGACAGTCAACAGGAGGCAATAGTTCAAACAGCCGGGTCAGAACCGTTTAGAACATGGGGATTGGGTTTGAAAATAGCAAAAACATACTTTCCCGAAGAGGGCACAGCTCTGCCTGAACAGGGCCCCGGGAAACACACCCGTTGGGTCTCAGTCTGCCCGAAAAGAACAAAAGGTATACCCTCCCCGGATTTACCCTAAAACAAATGCCAGCGAGTTCGTGCTTGGGAAAAAAAAACCCAGTTCACAGCGTGTCCAAATTTCTGTCAATTCCCTGCAGTTTCATCTGTTAACTTTCAAGCCCCGGCAAATCCAAAACCTGCATATCATCTCTTTTCCCGGGTTTAGTGATGGGAAATTTTAGAAATTTGATGTTTCCCGCTGACCCGCCCCAATTTACCAGGAAATCATATGTTCAGGTCAAAAAAAAGGGTACACCCAAGCCAGAACTGTAAAAAGAAAGTGGTGGTAGACATTTTGATAACTTCCCTTTGTTGTGGCACCTTCCCTTTTTTCCAGACAATAGGTTTATTATTTTAGTATTAGCGACGATTATCCCATTGCAATTAACCTTTCAGCAAAAGTGGTCAGATCCCCCTCAAAAATCCTGCACCCTGTATGGCTAAAGCACAAGTCCTTTTTTGGTTTCTTTTTCCTTTTTGGTTTCCCTGTATAGTCTCTTGTCGGGCCACACTCCTTTAAAATGATGTTTTGCAGTCGGGCCAGGGTTGCAGATTCAGTATCATTTGATTCTCGCAGAATCTTGCTTTTCGTAGGCTTTAAAAAAAAAAAAGCGAGAGAGGGAAACCCAGCGTCATTGCAAAAGGTTATAAACATAATTTCTCTGCCCCCCAGTAGGCAGTGATAAGAAATGCCCGCCGTGTGCCGCCCGCACGCAACTCTTAGCTACGGACGTTCCTCCATTTCCCCCAGGGGTTTTAACTCGGGTCCCCTTTTAGAGCATTCACAAAAAAGCTGGTTAGGCGTCCATTCCCCAGTAGCGTCCCAACAACCCTATCAGTTTGCTCTTTTTTGCGCCTTGTGGTGGCACGAAATGAAACTGTTTAAGCCGTGATCGCCTCAGAGCCCCAGGCTGACTTGGCCCCATCAGTCTCGTTTCCTGAGCATACTCATTGATCTTTAGAAAACATGCATTATAAGAAATAGAGATTTTATATATAAAACTAACACGTTATAAAGATATCCAGACATAATTTATGAATGCAAAAACAGTATCAGCAGCATATTCATAAAACACTGTGTACCAGTGCCAGATTTGGGCATTATCACAGGGCTGACTAGTAAAATGAAACCTTGAAATTAAATGCCTGGAAAAAACCCCCAACTAACCCCGGAGAAAAAGAGAAAAAATATTATCGACTGTTGGAACAACACCCCGACCAGATTAATTTTAGAAAAAAGAAAATCGAATGGTTTGGTAATTCTTTTGAATGAGCCGAACAACCCCAACCCCAGGGATACACTGGAAAGTCTGATTGAAACAAGAGGCCTCCTGGAGAATATCAATTGTGACATTTAAAAAGCCTCTACAGACACTGAATGACAGTATCCACTACCACACATCAGGCAGTGGATGCAAAACTGTTCCTCTCCATGACACTCAATGGTTGAAGTGGAAATTGATGATGATGATTGCATTATGCTAAAGGAGTCAAATTTTTATCAAACGGGACAGGCTTTTTTTTTTCTACTGAAGCGGGGCACACCTAAAAATGGGGACTGTCCTGGTGAGAACGGCACTGTCCGGTGAGAACGGGATTATGGTCACCTTACAAATAATTTGTATGTGGTCATTTACTGTTATAAAAATTTTCTCATAAAATTTGTATTGGACATTCATCGCCATCATCCTGTAACACTAGTGTCGTTGGTCATCAGTTGCTGTTGACGGTCTGATCAGATCCCTCCACCTTTGACAGTCAGATGCGATGGACTTCATTGTTGCATGCAAAGCGAATGTCCAGTCACTCAAGTTCTGTATCTAGGTCCTTTTGGTCTGCCTCTTCTCCTCCTCCCCTCTACCGAGCCTTGTATTATGTTTTGAGAGGCCGTTAGATCTTATTACATTCCCATTTTATTTCATTTTCTCCTTTTCACTGGAGTTAAAAGAGTTTCAGTTGCCAGTTTGAACATTGCATTTCAACATTTACTTTTTTACATTTCCCTTATGATGTGTATTTGGATATTTACCTTTATTAAACTTTTCTCATATAATTTTATTTGAAAATGTACTTTATAAATTTTTTCATCATATAATTTGTTTTTCATTCTTTTTAGTAACCATACTTGACTTCCTTATCACAACCCTGTTTTTATTATTTTTCGGCAGAGGGAATGGGGGAAAGGGAAAACAGTACCCTGTTTTCCAGGTATGGGTTTTCCCAAAAATTTCGGGGACATTTCAGTAAAAAAACTTCCCGCGAGTGATTGAAAAATCTTTGGAAGGATATTGGAAAAAAAGAGAACCATTTTTTGAAAAAACGGGAAACCCTTTTTCCCTATAAAGGGTTTGTTTTCTTTAAAACCCCCCCACCAGATTTCTAGGGAACTGGAGAGGGACCTCGAAACTGAATGGAAATCTCCCCATCGTGTTTTTGGTTAAAGGGAAAAGTTTAAAACTTACAAATTGGGGAAAATTTTTGAGATTCTTCACAGTTTGGGTGGGGAAGGGTACCAGCACAAACTAATACTGTGCTAGGACAGTTTTTCCCAAAAATTTGTCTTAGTCGAGAACCTTTTTTCAAAAAAAAAATTTTTCCGTGGGGCCCAAAACCAAAGGGAAAAAGTTGTTTATCGTGGTAAAGATCAAAAACAAAAAAACCGGTATTTTTGAATTTTTTTGCGGCACCCTGAAAAAAAAAAAGCTGGGGGGGGGGGTTTCCCCCGGGGGCACCCCAGCACACAGTTTGGGAATCCCGCTGGGGGAGATTGAAAAATTTTGGGGAAGCATGACTGCCCCCCATTTTGGTTTTGGTAAGAAAAAAAACGTAAAGGACTCTTTGTATAGCAGGGGGAACACATGGGGGGTTTTTTTATAGGCTTAACCTCTTTTATTATAACCCACCCCAGCGAGGGATGTGATCAAATCATTTGGCCACCTTTTACTCCCAGGACTTTACCTGCGGTTCCCATTATAGGTGGTCAGCCTAGCCGGGGAAACCCAAATTATTTTGAAAAAAAAAATGGCCCGTTAATAGGAGATTTAAAACCCTAGCCCTCAAGCGATACCGAGCATCTGGGCTGTTGGTTTACTGTGGCCCCGGGCTGAAAATGTCCCGGGGAAAATTAATTTTTATGAGAAAATATTTATATAGATCTATATTTTACTTTTATCAAATATATATGTTAATTTTTAAAATTTTTAAATTTTAATTTTTTTTTTTTTTAAAAAAAAAAAAAAAAAGGAAATATATTTTCCTTTTCCATCATGTTTTTTTAAAATAATGGAAAAACCCCTTTTAATTTGAAAGGGAAAAAAAATTGCTGTAGTTTTCATATTGGGGAATTTAATTTGTGTGTTTTTTAAAATTTCATTATTTTGAAATTAAAATTTTTTTTTTAAAAGAAAAAAAAAACAAGAATTTTGCTGCTTAGTTTTGATCTTTTTTTATTCAAAATTTTGTGGGGAAAAAAATTAAAGGGGTTTGTCTGTCTACAGAACCGTTTAAAATTTACACAAACGACATTGCAGAAATTGTTTTTATCGAAACAGAATATGTAAAAAATATAATATGGAGTTTGGGACAATAACAAAAACAAGTTTCTGTAAATCAAGGGGTTGAAGAAAAATGCAGGCAGGATGGGACACCCGTTGCAAAAAAGGGAGAAAACCTTTATTATTTATATTTTACACTGGAACTTCCCAGGGTCAAAAAAAATTAAAGGGCAAGGAAAAAAACCAGGGGGAAAAAAAGAACAACTAGGGGGGTGATTTTTTGGAAAGATTGGGAGGATGGGAAGGGAGGTTGTTTTTTGGATGGGGCAATTTGTAGCCCGGGTTTTTTGGGGTTGGGACAGCCTAGCTGATTTGGGGGAAAAAAGAGCAGGGGAAGGAAAAAGAAGGGAGATGGCTAACCCTCTACACCCATCCTTTGTTTTGTTCGGAATTGATTCTGAAAAATTGGACATGCATTTATATTTTTTTTAAAAAAATCTTTTTTTTGGGGGGGCATAGCTTTACTGCGGGGTCACCTAAAAAAATATTTTTTTACAGATGTTTTTAAATTTAAAAACCCAAAAAAAAAAATTTGGAAAAAACCCCCTTCATTTATAGGGTAAATAACATGTTTCCCATTTTCAAAAGAAGCAAAAAAAATTTTAATATTTTTTTTTTTCTTTATTATATGAGACTTTTTAAAAATTTTTGGTTTCCATACAAGGTTTTTTTTAACAAAGGGTCTTAATTTTTATGTTCCAGACGGCCCGAAGAAAGTCCAGAAATATTTTTGGGGGTTTTGAAAAAATTGGTCCTGAAGGTCCAAAAATGGGTCGGGATACGGACCACTGTTTGGTGATTTAATACAAAAAAACATGATGGTAAAGGGTTCCTTAAAAAAAATTTGATAGGTTTTTTACAAAAAATTATGGGGGATTGGTAAACAACATAGTAAAAAAACATATTTGAGGAGGGGGATGGAACATGGAGAAGATTTCGGCAGAAACACAGGGGGGATTTGTCCCGAACTTGGTTTGGTAATTTGTAAAAAAACATGGGTGGGCCCTTGTAAGAACCCATTTGGGGGGGATTTGAAAAGGGAAACACGGTGGTGACTTGTACAAAACACGGTGGTTTAAACTATAAAAATTTTTTGGGTGACATAAGACCACAATGGTGACTTTTAAAAACTAAATGATGACTTTTTTTTTTACAAAAACCCAAAAATGAGGGACTGAATGAACAAGGAAATTTATTTTACAAACCAGGTGGAGATTTGTTTAAGTGGGGAGGACTACTTTTAAATTTGATTTTAGACCAGTGAAATTTAAAAAAAAAAAAAAAAAAAAAAATTTTTTTTTTTGGGGGGCAGGGGTCAAATTTAATTGAGCTGCCCGAAGGCAGATAAATTTTTTAAAACGGTTCTTTCCCGGAAATTCCTCCCTTGGGTTTTTGTTTTTCACGGTCATTTTGGAAATTACTCCCTTTTTTTTTTTGAGGTTCTTAGGAAAATTTTTTTAAAGGGGTAACTTTAAAGCCTTTTTTTCAGGCCTTTGGGGTTTTGCTTTTGGCAATGGTGCCCCCAAACGGGTTTGTGAAAAAAAAAGGGCCAGCATTTTGTGGAAAATTATCATGGGGTCGGTCAGTTTCCTTTCCCTCCGGAATTTTTTTTGGGCACCTTTTTAAAGGCTGGGTTGATTGGCCGGTAAAACAATCCCCCCCGGCGGGGCCCAAACCCAGTTTAGGCCGCCCGGCAAGTAAGTATTAGCCACTGTATTACATGTTTTGGGGAATGGTACTCTTTGCTTTAAATTTTTGGTGGGGGTTTGCTTTCTTTTTGTTTTCCCTTTTTGGGTTTATGTTGTTTGAAAACTGATTGAAAGGTTTTTAATCCTTTCGCCCCCGGTAACCCCTAAAAAAAAAAAATAAAAAAAAAAAAAGGGCCTTCCCCAGGGAAATTTTTAAAAAAAAACTAAAATAAAAAAAAAAATTGTACACAGGTCGTTTATAAAAATTTTACAAATTTACCCCACCTAAATTTTCTTTTTTTTTGGGGGGGGGGGGGGGGGGGGGGGGGGTTTAAAATATTAAAGTATGTAAATGAGTAATCAGTAAAAAAAACCCGGTAAAGAAAATTTACGGTATCCCATCCCCAAGGGTCGGAAAAAATAGTGATCAGGTGCCCTTGGAAAAAACTTGGAAAAAAAAAATTGCCCTTTCAGGGTTTTGGTTAAAAAAGCGTTGGCCAAAGGGGAAAAACCCCCCCCAACTGTTTTTTTTTATTTAATTTGCTGATACATAAACCCCCAAAAAAGGGTTTCGCGGGCCCCAAAATAAAGCCGTAGAATTTTAACCCCATTTTAAACAGGTCATTTAAGGAAAGGGCAAAAAAGGTGCCATTTTAGGGGGAAAATTGGGTCCAGCCAAAAGTTTGGTTTGGGGGTTTCGGTTGATCTTGCAGTTTTTCCCCCTTTTAAAAAAGGGGGCGGGGGTGTACCCCGGGAAAATTGGGGGAAATAGTGAGGAGGCCCCAGTTTTTCCCCCGGTAAGCTTTTGTGCCTGGGGGAAAGCCACAAAAAAAGTCTTTCAAAACCGCCCGCCAGGGGAATGGAACCCTCATAAATGCCCAAGGGTAACACTTTTTGAAATGATTTCCCCCCCTTTCAAATTTACGGCCTTTCCCGTGCGGGGTCAGAATTAAATTCCCCCTTTAAAAGGGCCATAGAAAGGCCAAAGGGATCATTGCCGTTCCCTAATGGGGGATCTCTATCCCGGGGGTAGGCCCCTTCTGGAAAAATGTTTGACCCCCTTTCCCAAAAATTTTGGCCTCTAAGAAAATTTTGTTGAAAAAGCCCTGCCCAATTTTTTTAAAAAACATTTTTATCGTGTCAATGTTTTCTCTTGAAAGAAATTTTTATTTTTGCCCCTTTTATTTTTGTGTTAATTTTTTTGCTTTGTTTCTTTTAAAGCTTTTAAAAAAAGGGTTTAAATTTTTTATGACACCCAATTCAAAAAAATTTAAAATTTTATATTTTCAGTTTTAGAAAATTTTGGGCATTTGTCTGTAAAATCTTTCCCTTTTTTTGTTTTTTAATTTTTATTGCACAGTTTTTTTTAAAATAAAAAAGCTTTAAAGGGCAACCCCCCACTTTGAAAGCAGGTTCCGGAAATTTTCAAACTCAAAAAAAACAATTTTTTTTAAAAAAAGGGTTATACCATTTGTTTGCATCCAAAAACCATTTTTTGCAAGGCTACCCTTTTAAAAAAAACAAAAAAAAGCCCGGCCCCGGGGGGGCCCGGAACCCACAAACTTGCGACCCGCAATCTGTTTTTAGAAGAGTGCAAGAACAGTATGATGTCATTAAAGTGATCAAGAAAAGCTCAGTAAGTTAATTAAAAGGGCGGTTGACATGTTGTGTTGTGGTTTACAACTGGGCTGCAATATCTACATTTTTGGGATCTAAAAATACACAAAGAAGGGAATTAGTACTAGTGATGAATAATATGAGGAGCGGCTGGCCAAACCGTTAGTATGCTGGGGTCTCATGCAGGAGACCCAGCGGGTTCAAATCCTCAGTAAGGTTAAGAGATTTTTTCTGTCGGGGGCAAAATAAAATCCCCACCCGCACAGTAATGTAAACAGCACTAACCATGCAGCCCTAAATCCTCAGACTCAAAGACACCTCCCTGCCTACGCCGCAAAAGTGGTAAAATAAAGGCAGTAATTAGGCAGTTGTTAAATAATATGGATAGTAAGTACATAGAGGGAGCTGCAAAAGATTGCAAAAAGTAGGAGAGTTTGGTACGAGTTGGTTGAATGGCTATGTTCCAGCGGAGGATAAAATACAAAAGATGAAGAAGGAAGAATACAATTAAAATGAATACGGATCACATTTAAGTTACAGCCCTTAATTGCTGTCACCTGAAATAATCTCTCTTGCAGCATATTTTATTCTGTAAACAGGTTAACTGTTTGTCTGCCATTTATAGACAGTTTAACTACCATTTTTAAGCAGGTTGACTTTTTATCTACTGATTATAAACAGTTGTAACATTTTGTCTGTCGTTTATAAATTGTTAATTTTGTTTTTCTACTGTTTATAAAACAGTTTCACTGTCTGTCTACAGTTTATACTTTCTACCACATCTCACTGGAACATATTGTTGTATTTCTCATGTTTAAAATTATATTTACAAATACATATGTTGCTGCTGCACTTCATATAATCAGCATAAATAATGAAAGTCATAATCCGTATAATTTTGCACACCTATATATTTCTAAAGAGGAGCGGCTGGCCGAACGGTTAGAACCCTGGGCTCTCAAGAGGGAGACCCAAGTTCGAATCCTCAAAAAGGCTGGGTATTTTTTCTGTTCGGGGCAAAATGAAATCCTGACCTGCACAGTCGTGGTGACAGCACTAGCAATGCGGTCGTAAATCCTTAGGCTCAAGACCCCCCCCCCTTCACCGCAAAAGTGATAAAAAAAAGGCAGTAATTGGCAGTTTTGACATATGTCCAAGGCTGTTCAGGTAGTGAAAATTGTTTGTTTTCTTCTTTTAATATCTTGATATCGACCCACCCACACTGGACTGCAGGTCACTTCGTAACCATTTTGTAATTCCCCAATATAATTGTGCTGAATGGCTGAAGAACAGGGTTCACATCATCAGCAACTGGGTCGCCCATTGGCTGGCCAGTCAGTTACTTTTTCGTTGGTCAGGACAGTATTTAGGGCTGTCTTTTTGACCCCATCAACACTGCAAGAGTTCTTTTCAGGGCTGTTCGATGGCGTGCAATGGTAATCCATTTAACCATTTAATATGGTACAAATAACCTAAGTCACAATTATAACCAAAAAAAGCCCCCCCCCCCCCCCCCCCTTCCCCCACCTTGGAGATGCTGGTTGAATATGATGATTTGTATTATTATTTTCATCAAAAACAAACAGATAGAAGAACAGGGTTTCTAGAATTTGTTAATTCTACAGACTGCAATCTGAAGGGGAAAAGCAGTTTAAAAAAAAAAATCGTAATCTGTAGGATAACATATCCCTACCTACATTGACTGCAGATTAACCTTGTCAGCATCTGATGGTTAACAAAGCAACAGCAAACTACTGAATGTAAAATTTGCCTAGGAAAGCCGTAACAGCCAACAAAAAATGCTGGGGTTGGTTCTGCAATGTCCTGTAAAGGATGCACAACTAACTTTTAACATTAGAGGTGTTCTGATATAACTTTTATAGGTTTGAATAGATTTTCTAGGATTTGCTGCTGTTTGATTCTCATCCCTGAGGTGTTAAGTCTACAGACAGTAGTCCTTGAGAGTAACAATCACCACCTCCAGAATATCTTGGTCGGTATAAGAACATATCCCTACCCTAATTGGCCTGCATGTGTTATTTCATAATTGTCAGATACAGTGATATAACTGTGTTGTTTGGTTTACTGTGTTTGCTTCTGTTGGGATTCTCACCAAAATAATGGCTGTTTGAGTCTTGTAGAATACAGTCCTAGATGGGAAAAGAAAAATTTCAGTTTATATATTTCTGCTTCACCCCCCATCGTAAAGTTATCTAGGGAAGCCACTCTAGCACCCTGTCTAAATGCTTGATTACCAGCCCAAAGGTCTTACATTTGAAACTGCTTTACTTGGTGTGGCTTCTAAGTCTCATTCCCCCCCCCCCCCCCCCCCCCCAAAAAAAAAGACAACAAACAAACAAAAGTACACCCACTGCCTCCCTAGGAAGCATGTCATAAGAGTTGACTAATTAGGGGTTTCATTTGAATTCGAAGTTCATTTGCCTTAGAAAAAGGAACTGACAGTCTGCATACAAATGAGCCAGATATGTAAAATGGATGTGCACACAAAATTTACATTCTGGAACAAGAATATCTAGAAGTGGCTTACAACCATAACTTTAGAGTAGACAGCTGGTAATTGCCAAGAGGAGGAAGAAGAAGAAGAAGAAGAGCCCACATTGAGAGAGATTTATATACTTGACCAGGGCTCCCAGGTCGACCTCTGTCTAAAATAAATACCAGGAAATGTCTTAGGGAATAGAGGAGCCTGACATGATATTGACATCACATATTCGTCTTTATAAACATGGGTCTAGCTTCACATCCCTGATGCACTGAAGGCCTGAAAAGGGTCCTTTTTAAAAAAATATACTATATTTAAGGTTAAATGAGCAGTTCCCCATGTAGGTTTCAGAACCTCATTTTTAGGAGACAAAGAATAAACCCACTGCGACCAGGTCACCCATTGGCTGGCCATGGACGGCTTCATCGTTGGTGGGGACAGTATTTGGCTGTGTCTCTTTTGATAGCATCAACGCTGCAAGAGTCCTTTTCGGGGCTACTTAGTGGCGGCAATGCTAAGCCATTTTATATGACGCAAATAACCTAGTCACAATTATAACCAAATGCTGCCCCTTTGGGGATGCTGGTTAAATGCGACGATTTAAATTTTTTTTTTTTTTTTGTGTGCAAAGCAAGTCAAGTCAAACTCATTGCTTGCTAACAAGCAGGTCACATGAGGTAACTGATTAGGCTTTTGCTGAAATCGGATGTGTTGGACCAAAAGGCACAGATACACCCCTAGCTATATGCCTACCACCCTTTTAAGGGCGAACACAGAAGGAAAACAAGAATATGAGCAACAAAATACAACAAAAACGTTTTTGTGTTGTTTACGATACATACATACACATATATACCCTTGTACATATACATAATTGCACTGATGTACATACATACACAAACAAGCACCCACACTCATGCATACACTCAAACACACACACATGTGCACAAATGTGTCAATAGCTTTTTTTAACATTAATTCTCCCAACATTGTTGAAACACGCTGCCTTAACTAGGAGGGTAAACAAGAAGAAGAATAAAGCAGTGTTCTATTATTGTGGATTTGAAAAATTAGAACACAGAATAGTGTCTGCTGTAATTTAGCTGTATCTCGTGAGATGCATACTGCATAATTTACAGCAACATATAGTGAAGCCTAAAAAGGAATTCTAAACATCTGGTTAATCTATGACGTTCATGTAATAATAAAAAAATTCTAAACATACATGGTTAATCCTTGACTTTCATGGTAATAACAAAGGACTACATGATATGAGTACTTCTGTTGGAAGGATTCATTTTTGGGATTCCTGATATCAGAGCAATGTTTCCCTGTTGCAAATTTAAGCAAAGAAGAAACAGTAGATTGCACAATTTATTGCCTGGCATATTTTGATGTATCTCATCACACCCATACCACAATAGCAGGGGATTGAGTGTGGTTGATTTCATATTTAAAGATTCATTTATTTTCTTCATTTTATCCAGTTGTGAGCATACCGTAATTTGCAAAATATGCCAGGCAATAAACTCTGCAAGCTATTTTGTTTGTCAACTTTATTATTATGCTGCTAATTTGAAAGGCCACTTACAAATTCATGTTCAGTTTAAAAAATAAAAATACATATACGATTATAAAGCTTGAATATTGTAAACGGTCTTTATTGGACATTACATTGACATTCAAATAAAGCATTTCTCTTTCCACAACTTAGATTTAATCGATTTTGAAGGTACACACATGTAACACAGATTTTTTTGTTTTTTTATTTTTGTTTAAGCATGCAACAAAATACAGCAAAACATTTTTTGAAATTACCTACAAATTTGAAGTGGCCTTTGACATATTTTTTTTTAGCAATATATATGTTGATAAAGAATACTTTAGTAATGCTTCTGCCCAGACACAGCAACATTTACCAAGCTATAGACTGTAATATACTTGTATGTGTCATTATTCAGAAATGACTACTTGCACACATGGTCCTGGGTTTGATTCTCAAAACAGATACAAGATCTGCCTTACATGATTTAAGTTAGATGAATCAAAAAGCTGCTGAAATGTATATATTTCATCCAGGCTGAGATCTTAGTTTAAAGGGCTATAAGATTTGTAGAATTTTCTTTTTAAATTAAAAAGAATAAAATAAAAATAAATAACCTATAAACATTGGGTAAAACATAATGACTGTTAATACATTTTTGTGTGATATGTGTGTGTGTATACGTGTGTGTGCATGCATGCGTGTGTGTATGTGTGTGTGTGGGGACCTAATGAGCTAGTCCACTATCCTCTCTTGATGAAACACCACTTATTAAGTGAAGCTGTACTCTTTTAAACCCTTTGGCTTTTAGATGCTGATACTTCAGCAAAGCATTGGGCATCTGGGAAGATCAACTCATATTTTTACAGATCAGTCAGCACTAGGTGGGTAATGTGGTTAGCATTACGCTAGCCGTCTTGACTTTCCCAGGTCATCCATCCTGGTACCCATTTTAGGCTGGGTCGACCTGCGACGCCCCATACCACGATTGAAATCTATGCAGCCAGCAGTGGGTTTCGATCACTGTATGGTGGAATTACGAGTCGGACTTGCAACGCCTAAGCCGCGGACGCAAATATTTCTGTGGTAGGGCTTTTATAAAAGCTTCCTGGAAAATGGTGCTAGACGCTTATTTTTAAGGTAGGACTTATTTAAAGCACTCTGACAAATCTTGCTAGGCTTATTGTTTTTAGGTAGGTCTTAATTTTAGGGAATCATGATATTACACTCCCAAAATGTTGCATTAGCAAATAAAAATGATTCTACATCATATCGTTTCTGCATAATGCCCTGTGAATTATTTCACAATAAGAAACTATTATAACATCCTTTTGTTGTCACTTGACTTATTTTGTGTTTCACAGTTTAGTCAACTAGAAACAGAATAATGAAATTTTAACAATAATGATTGTTTAATATACATAAAGCATAAAAAATAATTACTGTTTAATTGTTCTCTAAGAACTTTTAATGGTAAACTGTACTGTTTTACTATTCCATGTTTTAAAGTTTTTATACATTCTGTGATATTGATAGCTTTTGTTGCATTCATTTCAGCATCTGTTTGTTGTTTTTAAATTTTCACATGAAATATTCTTACCACATTCTGTAATAACATAGAAAAGAAAACAATACTATCTCTCATTGCTTTTATTTATGTATTTATTGTATGTCCCTTCTTTTGTTACTGTAATTAAAGCTTGTTTTTATCTCGTAAATGACTATTGAGTAATCTGAATATTTAGGAAGGGGCTTTCCCTTTTGTATTATGGGACTTTGTTTTGAGGGGAAAATAAGTGAAGAAAATAAATGAATCTGGCCTTGTTTAAGAAAGTAATAAGTTTAAATGAGTAATAATAATATGCTGAATGGGGAATAAGCCTGAAATATATCTGAAATAATATGAGTTGGCAAAAGCTGGGAGTAATCTTCCACAACCTCATCCACCACACAGCAACAAGGAAACCAAAACAGCGCTAAAGCAGTCTTTCAAGCGGGAGTGGAGAAGGCAGAATGGAGATTACAGACCAGAGAGTGACAGCAAAAACAAACTCAACACGAAAGAACTAACATCAATTTTTAGACTTTGGACTGGACACTGTGGTCTTCGAGCACACTTGTACAGGATAGGCATAAAAGAATCTGCTGCCTGTGATTGTGGAGCAGAAAGATAGAACCCTGAGCACATACTGCAGCACTGCCCTAATCTCTCCCAGCAAAGACTGGATCTGGCCCAAGGGAGCCACATTGCAAGAGAAGCTATGGGGGGACCGGTGGCAACCTTAAACGCACAATCCTATTTGTGACCCAGACGGGACTCAATGTTTAGCATGACTGATGTCGAACGCAGAAGAAGAAGAAGAATATGAAATAATATAAAATATATCACTGTACCATTAATAAGCATGTAATAAAAAGTGGGTGAGAGCTGGCGTGATGTAACAGCTTGATGCTGGCCTGCAGATCTGAAAGTCATTTGTTCAAGTCTAAACAGAACCAGACTTTAAAAAAAAAAAAATGAACTTAGCTCCCAGATTGTGCCAGCCTTGAGTTGTGGAAAGTAAAGTTGGCCAGCAAGATATTGACCTCATTGCTCACTGAGTACCAACTGGTATTTAAAATATAGGTCTGGCTCTGTGTAGTCAATAAGTCTGAAGGGGTGGAAGAGGCACCTTTTAATAAGAGGTTTGCTAATTATGTGTTTGAAGAAATGGGAAGTTTTTGGATAGAAAACTCAGATATCGCAGCCTGACTGTAAATCACAACATGCTGACAACATATATCCATCATCATCATCATCGTGCTGTGTCATTGAAAATCATTCAGTGCTCGCAGACTATTCCTGAAATCCTTCTATCTTGTGCAAACCTTTCAGTATCATGGACAAAATTCAGTCCAGTTCCTTTGGCCTCTCTCATTAGTGTAGGGTAATTTCCTCGATGTCCTTGTTTCCTCAGTCCAAGTGTTTCCAATTGCAGGGATTGTTTGGTAATTCTCTGCTTGCGTCTCCTCAGGATGTGCCTCTTATGGTCTTCTTTGTCTTGAAACTGTTAATACCAATTGATTTGTATGCAGTTCTCATATTTCTTCACCTTTGTGGCATTTGTCTTTGACACCAACAGATGTCTATGCATTTCTGTTATTTCTTCACCTCTGTGGCATTTGTCTTTGATACCAATGGATATCTATGCCTTTAGGTTATTTCTTTACCTTTGTGGCATTTGTCTTTGATACCAATGGATGTCTATGCATTTCTTTTATTTCTTCACCTTTATACATTTGTCTTTGACACCAACAGATGTCTATGCATTTCTGTTATTTCTTCACCTTTGTGGCATTTGTCTTTGACACCAACAGATGTCTATGCATTTCTGTTATTTCTTCACCTTTGTGGCATTTGTCTTTGACACAACGGATGTCTATGCATTTCTGTTATTTCTTCACCTTTGTGGCATTTGTCTTTGATACCAATGGATATCTATGCCTTTAGGTTATTTCTTTACCTTTGTGGCATTTGTCTTTGATACCAATGGATGTCTATGCATTTCTTTTATTTCTTCACCTTTATACATTTGTCTTTGACACCAATGGATGTCTTTGCATTTCTGTTATTTCTTTACCTTTGTGGCATTTGTCTTTGACAGCAGTGGATGTCTATGCATTTCTCTTATTTCTTCACTTTATGGCATTCATCCGTCACGTGCAATCTTTCAAAGGCATCGCATGCCAAGTGTCCAGGGGATTTGATAATAAATATCTATAAATGTCTGCTCCATATCTACACACTGGATTCCCTCTATCCACTTTCCTTGGCACAGCTCATGCTGATAGTGATTATAACTGATGTAATGGAGGGCCAACCCAAACAAGAGCACCACTATAACCAAGGCGCATGCAACAAGCTATCATGTCCTTAAGTAACTACCATCGTCTACGAATACTGTAACAATACACCACACCAAGTACGATCTTGCAGTCCGATCAGTCTCTTTATTATGGACGAATACATGACGACCAAGATGAAGGAGAGATACTGGCCTCACTGTCAAGTCTTCTACTGCCTTCTACAAACTCACATGGGCAGTCACTCTAGACATGGGAAAACCACCGCAGCGATCTATGTCCCTTGTGCCTGCTACTGGCGACTCCTACCCGATCGCACAGATGCACATGTGTGATGTGCAGTGACAATCCCCTGGCGGTTCGTCCTCTAAACGACCACACTACCCTTAGAACTCAAGATAGATGAACCTCTTGGTGAAAACTTTAGACCTCCCGTCGGCTATTCCCAGCCACTCACTGAAGCATCACTGACTAACATCCCGATAATCAGCATCCAGTGCTTTCCTATCACATTCCTACGTTGGTCAACATACACAAAGTATCCCAGTACCCTCTTTATATATTCAGTATCGTCCTTTTTAGGATGACATTTTTTGTTATTTGAAGCCCCACCCTGGCTTTTGCCAGGGACCGCAATATAATAATAGGCAGGCCATAAATATGGCCAATTGTCTGAACGCGGTTACTGGGACCTCTCCACAGGTGATCCTCATCCACATGGTGGTACTTTGGGTCATCGGGTCTTAATCGCTTGTGTGATGTCCTTGTGGGGTAGCAAGTCAGTCAGTCAGTCAGTAACCTCTAGGCACTCAAGGACACTGGTAACCAACGCCACATAGCTGTCACCGTGTCGACCCCAACACACACTGACAGAACTCCGAGTTCTACTCATGATCCACCACAATTATCCGACATTTCACAATAATTGCACAGAATAAAACTGTTAAAAAATAGTCACCCCAAGTATACACGTACATAGGACTTGAACTATCCGCCCACATGTCCACACTCTGAGACGAACTTAAAGCAACTGAAAACTACCACGGGGCCTTTCCACCCAAGGTAATTTCGCGGATCTCACAGTCCCCACACAACTCGGGGAGTTGACAGCCATCCATGAATATCGAGCAACTTCTGTTTCACCCGCGACAATTGGCCCACATGTTCACACTTATTTCCAGCGACCCCCAAATGTGTATATTTCCAACCTGTCAACTCCAAGTCCTGGCTTCATTAACTCTTTACAATCCTCGGTGATTTCTCACTCAATATTCACAGTGACTTTAGTTTTGCTCTGAAACATGAGTATTGCGTGCACATCTGTTTTACTGATGAGGCTTATTTGCATGCAGAGTGTTGGATCTTCACCTCCCAGGCAGATGCACTTAATCTTCAAAGGAATCACCCCTAATTAGTTGCCTTCTACGACATGCTTGTTAGGGAGGCAGTTGGTCCATACTTCTTCCCCACCTCCCAGTTGAACCTTGGAACCCACACGGGACATTTTTGGACTAACAGCTCTCTAGTTTCGTCTGCACAATGGAAGCTGCTAATTATGGCGATATTGCGTGGTGAGGCCCCAATCAGTTTCAGGATGCGACTTTCATACTATGTCTGAAAGCCAAGAGAACGGTGTTTTTCTAAACCAGCCAGTACGGCAATCCTCTCCTTCTTCTTCTCATTCACTGGCTGTAAACTCCGGCGGAAAGTTTCTGGTTGTTCATCCACTTCTGGATTGTAGTCATGTTCCAGACACAGAGTGCTGCGTCCACATCCATTTCACGGGTCTGACTCCTTTGCATGCAGACTGTTAGTTCCTTGCCTCTCAGGCAGATGTACTCTAGACTCTGAAGGATGCTTCTAACTAATCGAATCTTGCGACATGCTTATTGGGCAGGCAGTGTCACCACAACGGAGTCCCGGAACCCACACTAGGCCCCGGAACCCACAATAGGCCCCGGAACCCACAGGAGTACGTAATCTAGCCCTGGTTAAACATCGTAGATTACATTGTGAAATCATGTCTCTTACCTATAAGACACAAAGGTATGATAAAACTGCAGATGATAGGAAATCGTGCACAACCCTTGTTCGTCAGAGTATAATACACAACTTTGTCTTCTTTCTTTCAGTTCTGCTATTTTCCTGTACATTTGCTTGCTTCTTCTGTGTTGATGCGGCAGTAGATTCATGGGCGAGTTCACTGGCTGTATCGAAAGTTGTCTACCAGACCATACACGAATGAAATGAAAAGAAAAGAATAAAAATGCTCAAAACTGATTTAGACAAATACATAAAAATAACTATCATAAATACTAAATTCCTCGAATTCCTTTGTCGCATCATACATATTCTTTCAGACCAATTAAAAAAAAAGTACATGGACGCCTTTACTTCCCATGATGTTTACTTAAGTCATTTTAGGCTCGTTCAATATGAGAGTCATAGGAAAATTATAAAATCGCATCGATAAGAATTCGAAGCAAATCAGAAAGCAATGGCAAACTACTGGACGTGAATTTGCCTAGAAAAACTACACAACAGTCAAGGGCTGTTGGGGTTGGTTCTGAAACGTTCTGTAAAGGATACGCAACTGACCTTAAGAGAGTTATAAGTTTAAGTGAGTAATAATAATAATGTGCTGAATGGCGAATAAACTTAAAATATATTTGAAATAATATAAAATGTATCAACACATGCTTGGTAGAGAACTTGTGTACATTATTGATGGGGATGGGGTCTGACTGACTGACTTTCTACCCCACCAGGACGTCACACAAGCGATAAACACACGATGACACAAAGTGCCACCATGTGGGTGAGGATCACCGTGGAGGGGTCCCAGAAACCGCGTTCAGACAATAGGCCATATTTATGGCCTGTCTATATTGCGGCCCCTGGCAAAAGCCAGAGTGGGGCTTCAAATAACAAAAAATTACGTCCTCAAAAGGACGTAAGGATGTATATTAGCATGGGGATGGGGTCTCAGCTTAGACCTTTGCACATTTTAGGGATAGGACAGGCAAATGGCTAACTACTCTGTACTAAGCCAAAGACGCCTACTTAAAAAAAAAAAAAAAAAATGCCCCTTTCAGGATTGTCTTGTGAAAGAATGCGACAAAGAAAGCAATTCATAAAGCAGAGACACAGTTATAAGCCACACTGGTCACAAGAACTGGAAGTTCTTTACGGTTCGCTCTTTGATTCTGGAGATATCATGGAAGCTGATCCAACAGACAAACATGTTACGCAGCACAACAAAGCAAGGGCTCTCTATGTCACAGGAAAACAACCTACAGTGTAGAAAATCCTGGATAGAAAAGACTGCCTTTCTGAACATGGACAATATACCAAACAGCTGTGGAGACTGACAAAAGCACTGAATGATGACAACCCATCTCATTGGAAACAATTCTCCGACAAGAAGGGAATCTACTTACAGGGAAGGAAGCGACAACTCTGAAGGCCCGAAACTATGAGAAAGAAGTCTTATATTCAGTAACCCTGGAGCAAAGGAAAGCAGTCCGAGATGGGATAAACTCCACATAAAAAAAAGCCTCTTGTGAGCCATGCATGGAGACAGGCATCACTCTAACCGAGCTACTAAGAGCACTGAGAAAACTCAGGTCAAAGAAGGCACATGGCCTAGACGAGGTCTCAAACGACATCTCAAACACATGGTTTTTTTTTTGGTGTGTCAAAATCTGCTTGTGCCGCTAGGCGTCGCAGTCTATCAGATGATCGGCAACCGAGCCAGGGCGCGCTCAGTCGCTTTATATGCCGTGATGCTATGAAGTCTCAAGTTGTCCGTGACTCCTTCAATCCATATTCTTCTTGGTCTTCCCCTGCCTCTTGGTGTTTCGATTTTCATGTTGTATGCTCTTGATGCTGGCATCGTTGGTTCCATTCTCACTAGGTGACCAAACCATTTCATTCTTTGGTTCCAATAGTTCTTGTAATCACATCGTTTCTCACTCGATCTCTTCTGGTTTTATTCGCAGCCATTCTCAAACATCTCATTTCACAGGTGGTTAGTCTTCTCTCGTGTTCTTTTGTTAATGTCCAAGTCTGACATTGATAACCTAATGTCGGTATAAAGATTGTATTTATAATTTGTCTTTTTATCTCAGCTGGGACAGCAAGGTGTTTGAAAATTAGGGCAAGCTGGTATGCGACATTGTTGGCTGGTTGGATTCTTGCTGTCTATTTTACCATTAAATGTAAAGATACTTCCCAAGTATTTAAATTCTTGCACTTGTTTTAGGCTGTGATCTAGAATCTTTATGTCGATGGTCTGTTGCTCTCTACTTATGCTCATGACTTCTGTCTTTTCAGTATTGATCTTTATATGATGCTTGAGGCAACTGTCGTGTAGTAGGTTTATGTGGTCTTGCAGCTGTTTACTATCACTGTGAAAAATGCATTGATCAACACATGGGTCCAGTAGCATAAAACATCTTACTCCAGATATATAACAATAGCTGGAAACTAGGGAGAATCCCTATGCTATAATTCACATTATCTTTACTAATGGCAAGGACACGAAGGACCCTCAGAGCTACAGGCCTGTCAGTTTGCTGATTTGCCCTGCAAAAACTGATATATATATATATCAGCTCTCTCTCTCTCTCTCTCTCTCTCTCTCTCTCTCTCTATATATATATATATATATATATATATATATATATATATATATATATATATATATATATATATATATATAGAGAGAGAGAGAGAGAGAGAGAGCTGGCTACCAGACTTCACGAGTTCCTAGAAACTAATCACAAACTGGATCTGGCTCAAACAGGATACCAACAACACAAAAGCACTGATGATCAGGTAGCATACCTTACAGAGGACATAGAAAATTGCTTGCAAGAAAATAAGAAAACCTTCACGTACTTTTTTGGGGGATATGTCCAAGGCCTTTGACAAAGTTTGGCGTGTTGCTAATGCTCTTACACAGTGGAATAAGAAGCAGAATGTACTACTGGATACAAGACTTCATATTCTACAGACGAGCATACTTGAAACTGGCCTCGGTAGCGCAGTATGTAGCACGCCAGTCTCATAATCAATTAACTATTCCGTGAAACTGGATGGAGTCCATAGTCCCAGGAACGAGCTGAGAGCAGGAGTACCACAGGGCAGTGTACTGTCTCCAGTCCTGTTCCTGATCTACATCAGCGACCTACCACAAGCTCTATCCAGACATGTATCTCATTCTCTTCACGCAGATGATCTAGCGGCATGGGACACCTCTGAGTCAATTGGACCTACCATATAAAAATTCAAGGAAAGCACTGTGTTGTGTGCTAAATGAGCTACCACTAGCCAGCACACTACCAAGCGTCTAGCAGGTACCCTTCCGCTTCCTCTCTTAGAAACAGAACTCGACGACAATGACACCGTCATACATTTTATTCAACAGGATACATGACACAACTGCAGAGACGTAGTTATTGATCACAGTTGACATTCGCACATAGTCCATTTGTCCTCACTCTCTCTCTCTCAATTTGTAGCGACCTCTCCTTGACCACTACAGCTCCAAGGACTACAGCGTCCCACACTCTGGACGCGCCGTACAGCTGAACAGGACGAATTCTCCCATCCACTGGACCTTGATATTATTTCAGCAGACAACACGACTGACTGGAGACGGACTTCCCTGCCGTACTCCAAAAACGCACAGCTCTCGTCAGCTTGTCGAAGTGCTCCGATGACCGACAGGACTTCTACCATAAGTCCCCTCTAGCACACAGCTCTCGTCGGTATCACCCCCCTGTTCTGTTTCACTAGTGGTCCTCCTACGTTTCACTACGTCGCCACCCAGAACAGGTACTACTGGAGCATCCCGTCCCCTGGACTTACTTCGCCAGTGGGACCATACCTTCGACCAGTACCGCAACCTCAACACTTACTCAGACCTTAATGCCTGATAGTCGTACGGTATTCTTGTCTGTTAGACTCGAGAGAGATAATCACGGACCCTGACTTGGTCTCTGACTCTCTCTCTCTCTCTCTCTCTCTCTCTCTCTCTCTCTCTTCTCTTTTCGACTCTGACTGCCCTGGACTGACTACTCAGCCCAATTTATCCCCCATCGAACTCGTGTGAGTGGATGATGTTTACACGAGAGGCACGCTAGTATGGGCGTTCTCGAAAATCATGCTCATGTGGGCGTTCTCAAGACTCACGCTCATGTGGGCGTTCTCGAGGATCACGCTTATGTGGGTGGCTGATGTTACCTGAGAAACACCCTGTCACGTAATTCACACTTTCTCTGTTTATATCGGTAGCCATGCTTTCAGCCCCCACACCGTAACCCACTCGTCCACTTTCTCGTGGCACTACCCTTCTCACTGGTCAACATCGAGCCAATGTCGACAATTCCACATGAACTCACAGAAGTACTCTCATACCACTGTCCCTTCACACAATATCACACTTTACCAAATCAGCACGCAACACACTCTAGAAGGGAGAAATCACCCAAACCTTACCTTCCTGGAAATTATTTGAATGTCGCCCGTGAAGTTATCGTGACGTCATGGGGTAAGTTAAAATTACTGTACCGAATTTAGAAAGTCGTACTCCTTACTGCGTAACCAACAATGTGCAGCCTGTGAGTTTTCGAATATCTTTGGGACTCAGAACCATTGACACTCATTGTTTCTACCTCAATCTCGAACTTAGGAAACCAAATTTCTGAGCCCAGTTTAGTGAACAAAGCAATCACAATGGAACACCTCAAAAGCATGCTTCCACAAGATAGCTGGATGAGAATCTACACAGATGGATCAGCAGAAAAAGCAACAACAAATTGTGGAGTATGTGTCTAGATTAAACACCCCGATACCACTACCGTAAACATGGTAGCCCGCAACGGACGAACTTGCTCCAACCACAAGACAGAGCCAGAGCTCCCAGCTCTACTGATGGCAGCACCATATATCTACAAGCTGCACACACCTGAATGCACTATAGTTTTTCTCATTGATTCGCTGTCAGCCGTAAGAGGCCAGAATTACTGCACAGCACACTACTGAGTAAAACAAAGGAACTTGATGAGTTGTCAACAAAGGCAGAAACCCACTTGAAGTGGATTCCATCTCATTGTGGCATCAAAGGCAATGAAAGCGTTGACACTTTAGCTAAGGGTGGCTGGAACAAACCGAAAATCTATCAGCCACTATCTTTTCCAGAATTCAAAAACCTCATTAAGAGAAATTCAGAGATTGGCAGAAACAGCCAAGCATGAGAGCACGACGGACGCACATGAAGTCTTGTCAACCAGCATAGGACTGGCACTATTAACCTCGCGACGCTGATGAATATGTTAGGGGGTGGGGAATCTGAACACCTATGGATGTATCCGGATTGCTGTGAAGATAATCCAAATCATAACACTCATACAAATTAGGATCGAGTCAAACAGCTCTCTGTCAGTGTCTTCGTGCTGAACAAACTCCACGGTAAATCTTGCAACACTGTCCTCTCTTGGCAGAGCTGTAAAGCAGCACCCAGTAGACCTGACAACTAAGATTACCGGAAACCGAAGAGACCTTGACATCCCAATTTATGGCCCACAGTGGATTATGCGCATGACTAGCGATCGCCCTTCCTTCCCCATCCCAACTACCCAAGTTATTGGAGTGAAAATCTATTAGGAGAAAATCGCGGAAACCCTGTTCAGTGGTACTTAAATTAAGCACCCTTTTCCATTTTTTAGGCGATTTGGGCATACAAGGGTAGACCTATAAATTAGAGAACCAGTCGACAGTCGGTGTTTATTGTAGTCAACTTCACTTCCCACGACTTGAGCACGACTTGTGACCCATTTGAAGCTTGGTCGACCAGGAAGCCAAGGTCATTTTGGAAAGAAAAAAAAACGTCTAGGTCCTTCAGTTCAACAGTAAAGGTTCCCTTTGCACGCCTTTAGGTGTACTGGAAATATAGGGCTAGATTTTTTTTTTTTATAAGTCAATCGGCACTTGGTGGGTGATGTGGTCAGCATCACGCCGGCCGCCTTTACTTCCAAGTACTGCATTTAGTACTCACTGCTGTGTCACAATGTGGACTGGCTGTCAAGACGCCGATTTGTGGGCTCAGATCAACTTGAAGAAGTCACCGCCCCAAAGAGAGTTGGAATACATGACTACTGGACCGTAAACCTGCGTGTACACATCTTTGAACTATGACCAGAATCGTGAACATTCGCCTTAGTACACTATAATATAGAGAAGCAACGAGTAGTGCTCACCGTCGTTAGTAAGAAAGCACTGAATGGATACAGGAAACATTGGCAAGTCTACTCATGAACGGAAGCTAGCTGTAGTCAGGTTGCTGGAAATAACACATGTGAATGATGATTTAAGTGTGGGGCCCGGCAAGGAGGTACGTATGAGAGAAAAAGTATTGGCGTGTTTACAGTGTGCTAGTGAAATGGTTGTCTTACTCATTTGTCAAAAGAGCCAAAAATCAGCAGGAGGACGAATACAATTTGTTGGAGAGCCAAATTTTTTTTCAAGAACCTCTCAAGAACCATGTTCTTCGGAGTCAAAACCAACTTGTTGCCGACTGGCCGAGCTGCACTCAGGTCGCTAAAAAATCGCATGCGGTTCATGAGCCATGAATAGCCGACCACTGTGCTTGTGGAACGATTAGCACCTACATTATACTACTTACGACATTTGCCGTGAAAGAAAAAGCATCTATTGATATTCAAAATATAAACTCATTTTACACGAAAATATTTATACACATTTTTTGACATGTATTCCTGATGTAACAAATCTCGTGAGGATTGTCAGGAGTTCGAGTTTCTCAAATATTTCTAAGAACCACCCATATGCGAAGATAATATGCAACTCAAATACTACAGGTAAGTGATTTTATGTATTATTATGTCTTCTTCTTCTATCTTTAAGCTGCTGAAGCTAGTATTCAGTTTTATAAATCAGTCTTTATTTCCAGGATTTGACTACCGCCTTTCTTGCAAAGAGAAAGTGGATTTAATAAATGTTTGAGACTCCAACATTGGATATTTCACATATGGTAAAACTTACCTTGTTTCTGAGGATTTTAACAATATCTTTGTATCCTTTCTCTACAGCAAGTTCCAGCGCGTTTTTACCATCCTGTCAGAACATAAATGCGAGAACATGAAGCTTCTTTTAACGATCAGTCCTCGGAAGTTTCCTGAATGCTAAATTTTCCCTCAATATAATTGTCTAACTTGATCGGATAGGCGGGCTGGCCACAGATTCTTTAGCAGTTATTTGTTTCTAGCCTCCGTTTGCTGGTGCAATGTAGCCATTTCTAGAATGAGTCCAAAATTTCAGTCGCCTTGCCACTAATCCGAGTGCTTGGTGTGACACTGTGAGCTGTGGATTTCATGTAGAACGCCATTATTTGTGCTCGCGGCGCTTTTGTGAACAGTAGTGATACAAATGGTGGGTGGCCGAATTATCTCGGAATGACATTTGAATGCCGGTTTTCCCAGCTGACTGCCTCAACAGTGAGCTTCAGTTCTTGTGGGAAACTGTTAGTACTGGCACTGTTGGCACATCTGATGGCTGCCGTATGCATTTACTTTGCGTGTGCTAGCTTTACGATTTCGTTTGGAGATTTTTGCGACTAATTGTTCATTTAGGATAGTGAAGGACATTTTGTATCCACTGACACAAAAACGGAGCAGTATTGACGTCACCCGTCTGCGATGAATGTGGAACCTCGACTAACTAACGACTTGCTGTCTTACTTTTCATGGTTTTACTAGGAAAATAAAGGAGGTTATTTAATTCGTTTACATTTGAAATTTTTTTTAAACGTATCCAGAAACCATGAGTTGTAAACCCTTTGGCTCGGTACTATGGATATTGCAACCCTTCGGCATTGATTCCATTATAGGTACCGTTAATCTGGGAGAAATGTGGCTTTTTTGCCTACCCCCGGGCCCGGACCAGTTTGTCACCCGGCCGCCGCGAAAGTCAGGTTGCTAGTTTTGACATCAGTGTGCTAAACATTTAGTTCCGTCTAGGGCACAGTCGGGTCATTGCGTTTTAGGTCGCTGTCCGTGCCCATCAGCTGGTCTTTTCATGTACATAGCTCCGTCAGCTAGATCCACAACATTTGCCGTCAGTATTTAGTGAAATCCTGCAAGATGGGTTAATACCTTAAGCGTAGTGTTGAAAATACACTGTACACACGAGGGTGATGAATGGTCGTAGATCACGAGGCAGACCAAGAAGACGATGGAGAGATAATGTCCAGACAGACCTGCGAGCAGTTGGTGTAACCAACTGAAAAGAGAAGGCCAACCAGAGAGTTGAATGGAAGCGGGTGATATCTGCAGCAATGACCCTCAAGGGCTCGGAATGGTGGAGAAGTCTTGAAAATATACATAGTATGTTCAACTGTGCACACTTACAATGTTCAGTTACGCATTCTGCATGTCCTGGGACATAAAGTAAAGGACGCGTTTGCGCGCTTTTAGGCGTATTGGGCATATAGGGCTAGGTCTATATTTTATAGACCAGCGGTATTCGGTCGGTGATATAGTAAACCGGCAGCCTTTATTTCCCAGGACGTTACCTTGCATTCATTTAAGGCTAAGCCGACCTGTGTGCCAAGGTTATGTTTTCCCTTAAAATCCACACAAGGCGGATTTGAACCTGAGACCTTCGGACCAATAGGCGATCAGCTTGCCACTACGTTACAACGTAAACAACGCCTCTTTTAGAATTAAAAGCTGGAGGAGGTCGTGCGCGAAAGTAGTATCCGGAATTTCCCATTTTCTTGTGTTATTATACTCACCCAGTCTTGAATATTGCAGTCGGCTCCAGCATCGACAAGCAACCGAACACACTCGATAAGCTGCCCATTGTCTCGCAGTCTTGGGTTTTTGATGGCTAAATTCAGGGCTGTGTCTTCTTCCTTTAACAAAGTAAGTAACGGTATCTATCTATCTATCTATCTATCTATCTATCTATCTATCTATCTATCTATCTATCTATCTATCTATCTATCTATCTATCTATCTATCTATCTATCTATCTATCTATCTATATCTATCTATCTATCTATCTATCTATCTATCTATCTATCTATCTCTATCTATCTATCTATCTATCTATCTATCTATCTATCTAGCTATCTATCTATCTATCTATCTATCTATCTATCTATCTATCTATCTATCTATCTATCTATCTATCTATCTATCTATCTATCTATCTATCTATCTATCTATCTATCTATCTATCTATCTATCTATCTATCTATCTATCTATCTATCTATCTATCTATCTATCTATCTATCTATCTATCTATCTATCTATCTATCTATCTATCCATCTATCTATCTATCTCTATCTATCTATCCATCTATCCATCTATCTCTCTATCTATCTATCTATCTATCTATCTATCTATCTATCTATCTATCTATCTATCTATCTATCTATCTATCTATCTATCTATCTATCTATCTATATCTATCTATCTATCTATCTATCTATCTATCTATCTATCTATCTATCTATCTATCCATCCATCAGTCTATCCATCCTATCTATCTATCCATCCCATCTATCATCCTATCCATCCGTCTATCTGTCTGTCTGTCTGTCTGTCTGTCTGTCTGTCTCTGTCTGTCTGTCTGTCTGTCTGTCTGTCTGTCTGTCTGTCTGTCTGTCTGTCTGTCTGTCTGTTCTGTCTGTCTGTCTGTCTGTCTGTCTGTCTGTCTGTCTGTCTGTCTGTCTGTCTGTCTGTCTGTCTGTCTGTCTGTCTGTCTGTAATCTGTCTGTCTAATCTGTCTGTCTGTCTAACTATTTATCTGTCTGTCTAATTTATCTGTCTATCTTATCTATCTATCTATCTTCTCTAATCTATCTATCTATCTAATACTATCTATCTATCTAATATATCTGTCTGTCTAATCTTGTCCATGTCTGTCCATCCAATCCATCCGTCTGTCTGTCTGTCTGTCTGTCTGTCTGTCTGGTCTGTCTGTCTGGTCTGCTGTCTGACTGTCTGTCCTGTCTGTCTGTCTGTCTGTCTGTCTGTCTGTCTGTCTGTCCGTCCTGCTGCCTGCCTGCCTGTCCACCCTGCCTGCCCCGGTCTGCCTGCCTGTCTGCCTGTCTAATCTGTCTGTCTAATCTGTCTGTCTAATCTGTCTGTCTAATCTGTCTGTCTATCTGTCTGTCTGTCTGTCTAATCTGTCTAACTAATTTATCTATCTTATCTAATCTATCTATCTTATCTAATCTATCTATCTTATCTAATCTATCTATCTAATCTATCTATCTATCTATCTAATCTATCTATCTATCTATCTATCTATCTATCTATCTATCTATCTATCTATCTATCTATCTATCTATCTATCTATATCTATCTATCTAATCTATCTATCTATCTAATCTATCCATCCATCCGTCCATCCATCCATCCGTCTGTCTGTCTGTCTGTCTGTCTGTCTGTCTGTCTGTCTGTCTGTCTGTCTGTCTGTCTGTCTGTCTGTCTGTCTGTCTGTCTGTCTGTCTGTCTGTCCGTCTGTCTGTCCGTCCGTCCGTGGGACCGCCCACCCTGCCCGCCCCGCCCGTCCGTCCGTGCGTCCGTCCGTTTGTCTGTCTGTCTGTCTGTCTGTCTATACCCCGGCTTTTCAACTCTCAGTCCGCAGGTCATATCTGACCCTCGGAGGTCTAGCAAGTGGCTCACGGATCATTGCTGGTTGTATTGTACTAACGATTTGTCTATGCCAGGACTGGAGTCTCTTGCCGGCGACTATCCCCATTCTCCAACATTGAGGCCGATGAGATGACTAAGTTGAATGTCACTTATTGTTACTCTCAGTTAATTTGTGTGAATGCCTAACGCCTCACACCCTTCGACAGTGCACCCTATTATGTTTTAATAACCTAAGAAATTGTTACCCAGATTCTGTCCGAAGTTTGGCGACCAGAAACCGACAATACACCCCAGTTAACACCATGGCGATAAGCCCATCTCACCTCATCTTGTAAGTTAGGATCGGCGCCTGCTTGCAGTAGCAATAACAGCGTATCTGCGACTGGTAATTGGCTGTTGGTTACGGCATAGTGTATAGCACCGGCTCTGTGCTGACAGAAATACAGTAAATATTAAATCCTCGTTCAAACTTCAGAATAAAAAAGTTCGCGTTAATCGAAATTCGTGCTGATCAGGGACACAATTTCAGTTCTGTAATTAACAAAGAAATGTCGTGCCGTCTTTACACTGAAAACTGGCACTTTGTCCTTTGGCATATTGGGTCCCAATCTCTTCCACAACGCCAGTCTCCTCCTCCTGTCGGAAAGTCAGTGTCCTCCATACTGTACAAGTCCCACAAACACACTTTTCTCTCACTCGGTCAAATTCATGCAGCCAGTTGTCTGATTCTCCATTTCCAACCCTTCTTCTTCTTCTTTTGTCAAAATCTGCTTGTGCCGCTAGGCGTCGCAGTCTATCAGATGATCGGCAACCGAGCCAGGAACGCGCTCAGTCTTGAATTTGCTTTATGCCTGATGTTACGAAGTCTCAATTTGTCCGTGACTCCTTCAAAACATCTCGCTTCTTGGTCTTCCCCTGCCTAGTAAGAACGTTTCGATTTTCTGTTGTATGCCTCTTGATGCGGCATCGTTGGTTCCATTCTCATTAGGTGACCAGAACCTTTTCATTCTTTGCTTCTCAATAAATTTTCACGATGGGTATAGGTTCCAATTTATTTCTGTAATCACATCGTTTCTCACTCGATCTCTTCTGGTTTTATTCGCAGCAATTCTCAAACATCTCATTTCACAAGTGGTTAAGTCTTTCTCTCGTGTTCTTTGCAGATATCCAAGTCTGACATTGATAACCTAATGTCGGTACCAACCCTATATGCTTCAATTCAAATCACTAAAAATAAAACCGACTGTCTCTTTCGAAACCGATACAGTCAACCTACAGAACAGCTGCAATCTTGAATGTGCTTTTTGACTGAATTACGGTTCAATTAAAGGTGCATTTTAATTGCTCATATGGTTGAATCATTCTAGTAGGAACGTTTCGATATCTTTATATTTACCACTGCGAAATCATGCAGAGTTGTTCTCAGAACCTGATTAATCAGCATAAAGAATTTTTTTTTTCACGATCTTTAAATTGCACATTTATGTCTGCGTCCTCTTGCATGATTACTGCTTGCAAGTTTTAAAGAAAAGAGAAGAAGCTGAATTCGGATGTGTTGACTGAAATGTGCAGATATCGTAGCTTCTCTGTAAACACATAATTTCGCTCCAACCGCCTCTTTAAGGGATAAATAATAATAAAAATAATCTTAATAATAATAATAAAAGGAAGAAGAAGGAGACAAAGATTGGAGAGGAGAGAAGAAGAGCAATGTAACGTTTTATTTTTAAAAATGTCCATACCCGTGTTGGTTTCGGGGCCTAAAAGTTGGAACAAAAGAGTAGACCCGCCTTACCTCAACAAGCATGTTACAAAGTTAACTTATTAAGGATATTTCTTTTGAAGTCGGAGTGCATCTGCCTGAGAGGCAAGGAACTAAGACTATGAATATAAATAAGTCCGATCTGTAAAATAGGCGTGCATGCGAAATTCACGTTCTGGACCAAGATCAAAGTCTGGAAGTGGACGAACAACCAGAACTTTCCGCCGGAGTTTACAGCTAGGGAACACTAACAAGGTCAGAAGATAATTCACACAGATACACAACAAAGAAAACAGTTTGTCGTACTTAGTACTCACTTTGTTTACAGTGTTAGGGTCACCACCCAGCTCGATATATTTTTTAAGTCTGTCAGCCTGGTTAGCTAGAACAGAATCTATAATACAAAGCTGGAAAAGAAGAAATCGCTAGAAAAGATTAAAATTCGTCTGTGGCGAAGAAAATGTCCGAACTATTAGTGTGCTCTGCTCGTCCTCCCCCCCCCCCCACTTTATTTCGGTGCTTCTCTATGAAAGTTTGACCCCCCCCCCCTAACCCCCTTTCTGAGATTGCAAATCTTCAGTTTGAATTCCACCCCAGCATGGCGAATCCCAGACACACAGTTCAACCTCCAAAACGAAACTTGTAACCAGGAGCATGTTTGGGTACGGATAAAACGGTGTCAGTGTGCTTGCTACAAAGTCGCGTTTGTATAGAATGAAAATTTCATTAGAGGGAGATGCTGGCAGCGTGGATTTTTATCATGGTTTAGGGCGTCGTAGGTAGACCCAGCCTAAAATGGGTACCAGGATGGCTGTCCTGGTGAAGTAAAGACGGTCGGCGTAATGCTGACCACATTACCCACCTAGTGCCTATGGTCTGTAAAAATATGGGCGCTCTTCCCATATACCCGATACGCCTAAAGGCGTGAAAAGGTATCTTTTCTTAACTTACTTTATTAAAGGGAAATGTAAGGTAAACGGGTTTATGCTACTAGACTAATATTTTTATAGTCCAATCGTCAGTCGGTAAGTTATGAGGTGAGCATACAGCGGTAGCTTTTACTTCCCAGAATGTTTCCGTGTAAACATTTCTCAGGTGGATCAACACGGGAGCCGTGCCGTCTTAAGTTAATACATAGGCCGGGAGCCCCACACGCAGAGAGACTCCATACTAATCTGTGTATGTAAAGTGACTTGCCATAAAATAAAAAAAAGTATATTTGACGTTTAATTTTAATTCTGTGTAACATAAACCCTGCCCAGGAGCCCATGTGAATTGGAAACATCCACCACAACTCGGAGTCGAATCCATGACTATCATAACGATAGGCAAGAGTGTCAGTCAGTGCGCTGCCGGGTTCTCATTTAATTAATGTATGTTAATTAGGCAGCACAAACTTCAACTGCTCCAACATGCTAAGAGAAGAAATACAGTTTAGAACATGCGCTGCCCTACACCAAAATTCTGAGAGAGGAACATGCAGTTTTTCAGCCTGGAAGAAGCTGTTAGGATATTCACTCCGAGACTTATTTTTGAGGAATTTATGGAAAAACAACAGCCTCATATTTTGAATTTCATTGATTTTAAGAAGGCTTTTGTTAGTTTACATAGAATATCACTGTAGGAAATTTTGGAACGCTATGGTATACGAATGAAAATAATAAATATTATTGTTAAGACAAGGTATAATGGTTCAGTGTGTGCATTGTGAACAAAAGATGGTTAAAGTAACTGGTTTGAAGTTGAAACAGAAGTGAAACATGAACTATCGACTGGGTGATGTAAAAAAAAAAAAAAAAGATTCTGTGTTGGAAACACCTGCAACGACTGGATGGAGAACAAGCAGTTGGAATATCTTGATTGTGCTGATGGAGAACAAACAGTTGGAAGATCTTGATTGTGCTGATGGAGAACAAACAGTTGGAATATCTTGATTGTGCTGATGGAGAACAAACAGTTGGAAGATCTTGATTGTGCTGATGGAGAACAAACAGTTGGAATATCTTGATTGTGCTGATGGAGAACAAACAGTTGGAATATCTTGATTGTGCTGATGGAGAACAAGCAGTTGGAATATCTTGATTGTGCTGATGGAGAACAAACAGTTGGAATATCTTGATTGTGCTGATGGAGAACAAGCAGTTGGAATATCTTGATTGTGCTGATGGAGAACAAGCAGTTGGAATATCTTGATTGTGCTGATGATAATGTTCTGCTAAGTAAAAACGGCAATGACGTGCAAAGGAAAACAAATGATTTGGCATCAAGGGTTGGACTATAAATAAGTTATGAAAAGACAAACATACTGAAGATGCCAACAACAGATCAAGCAGATGTAACACTAGACACAAGAGTAGTTGAAGTAATAGATCAATTTACTTATTTTAATAGTAATTTTGATAGTGAAGGAAATACAAAGTAAGAAATTATGACACACATTGGCAAGGCATCAATAGCTTTTACGAGCTTGAAAAAAAAAAAAAAAAAATCATTGAACTGTAAATTGTATAGTTTCAAAACCAAGTTACGTATTTCCAGTTCTAATGTTTTTTAAATTTGAACATATGTCATGAAAGTTTGAGTACTACTAAAGACATGGAACAAAAGGTAGGCGCAATAGAAATCAAATATCTTAGAAAAATGCTGAAAATAAAATGGTATAAACTCAACAGGAGTGACAAAGTAAGTTTCATGTCTTGGTAACCACAAGTGTCAACGGTTATAAGACAGAAAAGATGGCGCTGTATTGGGCACATCATGAGAAGAAATCAGCAGAGAACCATCAACCCGGCATTAAAATGGAAAATAAAGGCACTAAAAAGGGAAAAAGGGGGGTGGGGGTGGGACTCCCAAAAGCAACGCTAAGATGAACGTTGACGAGAGAGGCCAAAGCTGCTGGGCTGGATTCCATCCATGATATAGAACTGGTTGCACAGGATAGAACGGAATAGAGGAATAGACTGGCACAACAGAATAATAAATGCATGAATGAATGAATGAATGAATGAATGAATGAATGAATGAATGAATGAATGAATGAATGAATGAATGAATGAACGAATGCCCTACACCATCTTTTAAATTCAATTGCTTTCTCTTGGTCTCTAGCAGGGTAAAATAATCTAGTTATAGTAATTTATTCTCACGTTAGTTGTTTGTTCAAGTCACACTTACACCATATTCGTGTCTCTTTCTTTTTTTGTAAGCCTCACGGGCTTCAGCGGGCGACAAAGTCCCAGTTAACATGTCCGCTATCTCATACTGTTCTGTGGCGATTGCGATGTCGTAGGGCGTGCGAAGTGTCTGGAGAAGTAAACAAAAAAAGTTAGTATAGTAACTAACCACCTCCTTGGCGTTGCTCTTATCCCCATCGAAGCTGGTTTCCGGTTTCCCCTCCCTCCCCTATCCAACTCCCAAGTGACCTGAGCTACGAGGTCGACCTAGCTATAAAGGGTACCAGGAGATTTGTGTTAATAGTGTGATAATGATTCCATCAGCCAGAAAAGATCAGTCTTAACAATATATCGCACTAGCACCATTTACACTTTAAGACGTACAATAAGTAAAAAGATCCCTTACCCTGTCTTTCATGCGTATTGGGCATATAGTAAAAGTAAAGGTCCCTTTTCCACACCTTTAGGCGTATTGGGACATTGGGCCAAATCTATATTTTTATAGATCAGTCAGCACTCGGTTGGTGATATGGTGAATCACATCGACCTCCTTTACTTCCCATGACTTTACATGGTACGAATTTCAGGCTTGGTCGTCCTTCGAGCCTGTTCATCTGCCCAGCTGAAGCTACAATCTTGGTTCAGGAGTTTAGTCTCTACATCAGTAGCAGTCGGATATCAGTCTGAACGACAAGCGTTTACAGAACTCAAAATGCCTAAGCACCTATACATCTTCTTCTTTGCGTTCACGGTCTGTAAACTCCAGTGAAATGTTCTTGTTGTTCCGTCGACCTCTGAACTTTGGTTTTGTTAAAAAACAATAATGTATTCCGACTTTAATTTAAAAAAAAAAATGCTTGTCTTCTACGACACGCTTGTTAGACGGGCAACTGGTCTGTTCGTTTTCCTGACAATGAGGTCTGGCACCTACACAGCGAGAACACCGATATATCTAACGTACAGTTTAAAAAGCTCCACCCTTCACCCTGTTCTTTATTAGACTAAGATGCCACCAACTGTTATATACGTTTTTGCTTATACATATATTATTTTAAGTCCCCGTGTTGGTTCCAAGGCCCTATTGTGGAGACGACAAAAACAGACCCACTGCCTCCTCTACATGCATGTCATAAGAGTTGACAAACTAGGGAGCTTCCTTCGAAGTCACAGTGCTTCTACTTGAGATGAAAAGAGCCAATAATATGCATACACATAATCAAAATCTCTAAAACGGATGTGCACGCAACACTTAGGTTCTCTATCAAGAGTAAATTTCAGAGGCGAAGAAACAACCTGAACTCTTCGCTGGAGTTTACAGCCGGTGAATGCGAAAAGAAGGCTTAAAAAAAAAACGATTATTTTTTGTTTGTCATTCAGCACATCCCTATTATTATTATTATTTGAAAAATAATTAGGCACTTAAACAGGTATTAGGACCCTTAAGACCAGCTGTCCCTTAGAAAACCTAAGGCTGCTGAGGCTTCCCGGGCCTCAATGTTTCCTTTGCTTCGGCGCCCCTGCACTATCTAGGCAAACAGAAAGTTTGAAACTAATCAACCAACCAAGCAACAAGGCAAGCAGGCAACCAGTCCATCAGCCAACCAAGTGATCAAGTAATCAGCCAACCACCCCTCTCCCTTGTGGGCTCTGGGGCCTCATTTTGGAAGATACAAAGAAGCCCTCTAGCAAACATGTCGCAAAAGGTAACCAAATAGATCTTTTCTGAAATCAGGTATGTTGGGCCGAACGGGGCAGATATCGCTGCTTAGTCAATATATACACATGCAGAAGACCAGTAACCTAACAATAAACGAGATCAATTCTCCACCACTAATTTAAAGAATATCAATATAAAGTACATAGAACAGTCCCATAAATTCCCCCTGCCAGTGCATGCGGGTGTTGTTGGCAATGTAAGAGCCGACAGATTACCCGGCTATGCCTTAGTTACAGAGGGCCGGCCAATTTATCATGCCGACGTCGTTAACTTCATTAGAGAGGTAGGACGTTCAGAAGATTTTAGGAGCAACACTTCTACATCTTTTCTAAAAGTGCAAGAATTGGGAACAAAGATCGGTCCAGCCAGGCACGAAAAGCACACCAGACGCACGAGAATTCTTCTTAACCAACATAGGACTAGGACTATCAACCGCCAGAAGCCGATGTAAATTTTAAAGGGGGAATCAAAGCACGTATCCGGAGTGCCGAGAAGATATACCAAATCACAACTCAGCTCAGTCTCCTACCTTATTTCTGATCGTCATATCAGCTTTTCTTTTCAGAAGATATTTAATGAGGTCGAACTTTCTTGGATAAACATCACGCAGAACAGCCAGATGAAGCGCAGTGTCACCTCCAGGACGAGTCTGGGCGTTGATATCGGCTCCGTAGTCTTGAAGAACTTGTATAACTTCACACGCGTCAGCTCTCCCACTGAGGATGGCTGTGTGAATGGGACTCTGTCCTTCCTAAGAATTAAATTTAAGAAATACAGTGAAACTTCGCGTCTCAAACTTGTCGTTCTGAAAAGTTGTTCGGAGACTAAATAGTTGGCAAACTGGAATTTAAAGGAATGTTTCCCAGTTGTACATTTGAAAAAAGAAAACACAAGCAATATATTGCACAGTTTATTGCTTGGCATATTTTATGCTGATGTTTGGTATCCACTTGTGTCACATGTGTTCATTTTGATATCCGGACAGTATATCCACGCGAATTCCTGCAATGTTGACGTACTGACGTTTTGTATCCACTCGTGCCACATTTGTCCATTTCGGACCTTCCGCCGCAGTACTGACTTCTGACAGCAGCTTCAGAGCGGCAATGACTGCCTCCCTCCAGGGCTGCAAACATGGGGGGAGGGAGGGGGGGGGGGAGTATAGTACCAATTGTCTTTTTGAAAAAAGTACCAAAGCACACCAAAAGGTACATTTTAATTTTTTTTAAATTAAAACAATTAAAACGTCTTTAACACACACACACACACACACACACACACGCACGCACGCACGCACGCACGCACGCACGCACGCACGCACGCACGCACACACACACACACACACACACACAAGTAACTGGCCAACCTTATATTTGATTAAAATCGATTTATTTAATTCTGTGCCCATTATACCACTGCCGTACCATTCTTCCCCCCCGTCCCCACTATAGTGTTAAGTTTGTTATAAAGCTGTTTTCGCAACTTCCATTTGGTGCAGTTAATGTCCAGTTACACGTCGCATTCAAGGGCCAGAAGAAATCTTTTGATTAAATAAGGTAATAGCGACAAATTATAGAAGGTCTTGCAAAATTGCAGAGTAAACGTACATCTTATTAAATTGTGGAAGAGTTTATATGCATTATTTATAACTTATAATGTCTATACTTACATAATACCACTGTGTGTTGCCTTTTGAAGCTTGAAGACATTTAATCACGTCATCTAGAGTTCCATTCTGGCAAGCTGTGTGAAGTTCACCCTGTTTTTAAAAAATGAATACCTCTAAATAATGGGGCAGTTCCACATACATGAAATAAAATCTGCACATCGTGGTGGAAACTAGTCTTTCTTCTTCATCTTCGGTTAAGCTCTCGCCGGCTGTACATTTCGACGGAAAGCTGTGATTGTTCGTCCACTTCTTGACTTTGGTCTAATCTAAGAACTTAAGTTTTGCGTGCACATTCGCTTTGCAGATTTGGCCTTTATGTATGCAAACTGTTGGTTCCTCTCCTCTTATGCAAATGCTCCCCGACTTCGAAGAAATCGTCTCTAATTATTGCATTGGATAGTATGCTTGTACGAAATGCAGCGCGTCTTTTCTCCCCCACACCCTTCTTCCCTCCCCTCCCCCTCTTCTCCCATTCCCCCACATAATGGGGTCCTGAAGCAAAACAGAGAAACTAATGTTTCTTTGCAGAGTTCCAAGTTATCTCATCTGTTTTGAAACAAAGTTGTACCTTCTCCATAAAAGGGACTAGCTGCAACGGATGTAAGCATTTAGTGTTTACTCTGGAGCTTGCATGCGGTATGCTTGTCTGGCGATCCTACAGTCTCTTTTCTGAATCCACACTGGGCGGATTTAAACAAATAACCATGATTCCCAGGTCAACCAGTCCTAAAATAGGTACCAGGAAATATCCTGTGAGGTCAAATGGACTGGCTTGACGTTGAGCACAACACCCCTCGTGCTGAATTACAAAATTAGTCGCATATCCTTTACAGGACAGTGAAATACAACCCCAGTATTTTTTGCCTGTTTGTAGCAGCACTAGAAAATTTTACGTTAAGTAGTTTGCCCATCGGCGACCGGGTCCCCATTCGCTGGCCGCTAAACGACTTCGTCGCCGGTCGAGGCAGTATTTAGTTCTGTCTCCTTTGATCGCGTCAACACTGCATTTTATATAGCGCACATAACCTAGACACAATTATAACCTAAAGCTCCCCCTTCGGGGATGCTGGTTAAATGTGGCGATTTGTTTTTCAGCAAAGCACCAACCCACCTAAGTAGTTTGCTATGAATAACTTACCGGTCGATGCTCATTTCACTGAAATCGTCGCGTAGCGGTCTGCTGAAAAATCGCCTACAGCCGAAATAAAACAAAGTATTCGAAAATTGCTAAACTGTCCTCAAAACCTCTAAGCCGTGTAATAACTATTGGTTTATAGATATATGAGTTAAGGACCATATAGCAATGTCCAGCATGGCCTTGAATAGGTTCCGCCAGAATCTTTCCCCTTGAGATTTTCTTGTGAACTTTACTTGTTTTCCTATTTACATTAATTAATACAGTATTTCTGTCAACTTTACCCGTACGTTGATGTTATCAGAATCACGTTCTCTGCGCATGTTTTATAGTTGACACTTAAAACATCGTGAAGCCAGCGAAACGGCTATTGTTATGAATGTAGTTGCCATGTTTTCACAGAGAGGTGATCTGAAAATAAAAACAGACATTGACACATGTAATAAATGTAACGATACAGGTAAATCTAGTTCCACCGGCTGTAAACTCCGGTGGAAATTTCTGGTTGTTTGTCCACCTCTTGACTTCAGTCTTTTTTTAGAACCTAAGTGCTGCGTGTACATCCGATTTACAGATCTGACTTATGTGCATACAGAGTATTAGTTCCTTGCCTCTCATGTAAATGAACTCCGACCTCAAAGGAAGCCCTCGGTTAGTCGAAGCTTACGACATGCTTGTTGGGGATGCAGTTGGTCTATTCTTGTTTCCCCCACAATGAGACCCCAGTGAGCCACAAGGGTTAAGAAGCTCATTTAGTACAACTGACTGCAACAGCGGTCCTGATATCCCATGCTCTGGTTGTGGAAGACTTCTTAACGCGAGTGGGTCTTGATCGTCACGTTCACTGTCGCCATGGGCCATGATTTCCTTCTTCTTTTCTTCTTCTGCATTTATATCCCCCCAATGGAGCATAGGCCCTCAACCAACTCAAGCCAAGTCGTTCTATCCTTCGTCATTGCATGGAGCTCTCCCCATGTCCTCCCCATCTTTCTAACTTCATTCTCCAGCTCTCTTCTCCGTGTGTTTTTTGGCTTTCCTTTATTCCTATGCCCCTGTGGGTTCCAATGCAAAGACGTTCTAGTTATGCTGTTCTCCTGTTTTCTCAGTGTGTGTCCTATTCAACGCCAGCGTCTTTTCCTCACCTCTTGGTCTACTGAAGCCTATTTAGCTCTCTCCCAAAATTCTACATTAGTTACTCTATCATGCCATTTAATTCCCTATATTCTGCGCAGGCACCAGTTAATGAATGTCTGTAATTTATTAATTATTGTCTTAGTATGATTCTCATACCTTCCTCATACCACAATATAAAACTATCGTCTGGAAGGAGGGAAAGGTGCCAACAATAAAAGTAAGTAGTACAAGTGGTTCTCTGACTGCTGGCTAATTAGTCAAAACAAATATGGAAGCGACGAAGGTGTGGTTTTATCAACCGATGATGCTGGGCAGATAAAACGAGAAATAAAGAAATTTTGAAAGAAACTGACTCACTATTAAAACTGACTGCCCACATCTGAAGCAGATAATCTATATAATGGGAAGGAGAAAACTAGAGTACCTCGTGAGGTTGGGGCAGTTAGAGGGGAAAAGGAGCAAATTGGAGATTGAGAAAGAGGATGCAGGGCAGTTTGACATCCTGGCATGTTTATCTGTGTCAGAACTGACTGAAAGTCTACTAGAGAGAAGGTTGTGAATAGACATGTCTACCAACGCCCCAAACATAACATACACACACATCTATCAACTAAATGCTGTGAGGAGTACTGAATAGGCGAATAAGTAAAAAAATTAATTGTTTCTTTGTAGACTACAGCAGAAGTTATATACTAGGAGGCCCTGTTCGGGAGAATCTTAGGCCAGCTGACCTGATGCGTTCAGAAGTAAACAGCAGAATGGCGAGTTTGTAGAACGTGAATGATTACTGCTTTGTATATTGCTTATAACTACTGGACGTACATTTGCCTAGAAAAACCACACAGCAGAAAGGGGCTGTTGGGGTTGGTTCTATAAAAGATACACAACTAACCAATATTGTCTTTTGTTACATCGGGGTTCAATGTCTGGAAGCAGAGCAATGTTGTCATCATCATCCTGTAGCAGGCTGTTCGTAAAACGTCGCTACCATCAAGGCCTGCCTTGGGATTTGGTTTCCTTCTCATTAAGGACTAGTCCCTACCAGGAGACCTTTGGTATAAACCTGCCTGTGGTCGGACAATCCCGCCATAACACTCTGGCCTTGCCGATTGAGGTTTGAGGTTTGAACAACGGATCAACATCATGGCACACGGGTAGTAACCCATAAGTGCTTCGTTCTTCTTCTAATCAAGTCTAAGTCCGAAGAAGCTCAGCACAGTGCACAGGCTCTGTAGGACCGGCGAGGATCCAGAAATACTTTAGGTAGATTTTTGACTCCAAATTTTGCTCGGGCAGCGTCGTTAGGCTACTCTTTTCGATTTCCAACTGCCAAAAGATTTTTTACGTGCACAACAATGCACACGGGCGTCCGATCTCACTACCCAGAGACCAAGGGGAATTAATAGAAGTCAAAATCCACGTGAAAAAATCCTAGCCCTTACCGGGGATTGAACCCGGAACCTCTAGTATTGGATGCGGACACCATGCCTCGAGACCACGCAGCCCCGTACGCTGGGTTAATTATGAAGTACTACCGTAGTTGTCTACATCAGTTCTTTTTTTTAAAATTAATTGTTAAATCTACATGCCAAAATCTGATAGAGCGGTAATCTACAGGTGCCATGTAATATATTGTTTTTAGAATGCATTTTAAATGGAAATATAACAAACATCTTAAATCAATTACTAATGTATTTAAATAATTTAAATTCGTTACGGGAAAACATTGTTTTGAATTACTAATGTATTTAATTCGTGATATTTCATAATACTTACAAGCAATACAGGATCACGCCCGTGCTTCAGAGCCCGTGCACTGTGCTGAGCTTCTTCGGACACAGACTATAGTTAGAAAAGGAACGGAGCACTTACGAGTTACTACCCGTGTGCCATGATGTTGATTCGTTGTTCAAACTTTAAACCTCTAACTGACAAGCAACAACGTTGATGTTTACGTATATTACGCCCTGCTACAATTTGCTCTTCTCAGAGACGTGTTTAAACAGGAATGCCAGAAACACAATGTATACCTTTAACTGCATTAACATATCCGTGACTTAGGCATTGAAATCGACGGCCTGTTCAAGTGTGTTTGAAATATAATTCAATGATCGGTATCGGCTGCTAGTTGTATTTGCTATTGACGTCTACGAACCCTTATCTTGTTACTTGAGGTCTGGCGTTGGGGGAGAGGTGTGGTGGTGGTGGTGGTGGGGGGGGGGGTATGACCCAGCTGTGCCAGAACCTGGGAGCTCAAGCATCTTGAGCACCCCTAGAAAACGAGAGTCCCCCAACGTCAGGCAATATGTAACAACAATGGGAAGGGTAATTTGAATAAAAAATGCTTTGTAAAAGTTTTTGTTTAAACATTTGTTTTTGTTATAGTATATTTACTTATCATTCAACGCATTATTATTATTGTTGTTTTTATTAATACCCACAAAGTCTTAGGTTCCCTGAACCCTCCCAACCCCCCTCCCCACCCCAAAAATTTTGTAGTTGAGCCCTGCAGCACACCCCCCTCCATTTTCTGTGTGTATGTGCCCACAAGGTGACATATTAACAGTGTATAGCAAAAAATGAGTTGCGATTTCATTTACTGCACTTTTACATGAACTTTTTTTTTGGGGCACCAAGACACTGACTATACGTGTATGAATCGCTCTGTCAAAGGAACGGCTCATCTGCTGGCCTGTATGTCTTTCACTGGATAAATGGCGTCCCTGGTAGAGGTACAGCCCGCTTCCAAGAAAGGCAAAATCACCGGAGATCCGGGTTAGCAAGCGCTGGCACAACTATCAGCAGTGAAGGTGATTTCGCG